CGACCGCCTCCTCAACTTCCATACTGCCAAGTTTTCCATCATTCACTGCCTGTGCCAGCAATGCATTTAAATTACTTTGACCGACAGAATAGTTAAAGTTAATTCCAAGTCAGTAATGATACTTCTCGGCCTACATGATAAACAAGAAATGAAACGTTTTAAGTTGAAAAGACAATCAGTTGAATAGTAATGTGAAAACACCGCAGCCGAGGGGCTTTAGGCGCTGCAGTTTAATCGCCTTCTTTCATCGGCCAAATTTCGATATTTTTATCTTAGAACGTGTTCATTAGTATTTAAGCACTCTTCCTAGTTTCTAGTAAAATAAAACAGCTCAGTGCTTTAAGATTCCATACTCAGCCAAAACAACTAATTGCCTACAATTAAAGAAGGCATGCTATATTGGCCCCTTGTAGCCTGAGCTGAATGCTCAGACACAAAATAACTAATGACTAAAAAAATCTTTTACCTTAGTTCGAGGACCTTTACGCTCGCGAGACTAGTGCCTTTTAATTCTTCCATCGTCCGACACAAAAAAAGACAGAATAAAACAAATCAAATAACTCGTGCACTTTCCCAATTTTATAATAAATTGAAATTTCGTTTCCTGCTTTTGCTTTAAATTATAAATTTGATTCAATAACTACAATATATGTTTCAACTGCGATAAGCTTTGTGCCAGGAAAAGGAAGAACTCTGCATAATGTAAAAGTGGGGGAGGAGGAGGAGGGTGGCTATAGACGATCAATGGACCTCGAGATTTCTTACACCCTTCCCACCTTTTCATTAGCACACCTATTATCCACATTGTTTTCTATTTTCTTTGGTACTGACAAGGAGACATTTATGCCCCAATCTGATGTTTTACAACGACATTAGGAGCGCAGCGCTTCATACGAAATAAATTCTTATCCTTATAAAATAAACGATAATTTCTTAATGAAAAATAATACACTTCGCTATCTTTTGAATGAAAAGGTGCCAGTGTAGAAATTGGATAGGGCCTTGCAGTCGCCTGATGCTTACGTGCACCCTTACTAAATTTCTTTTAAATTACGATAAGCAATGGGCTCACTTACAAAATAATTCTTGCTTTCCGTTATATATTACAATACTAACCTAAAGTTAATTATAATTATTATTACCAGAACACTCACATTTTCTTCAATACGTCGGACAAGCATTTTTGTCTGTGGATTTTCCAAGTTCTCGTATACTTGTTTGAACTCTCTCTTGAGTTTTAGTACCATAACAAGGTTTTTCTGGGGTTCCTCTGTTAGGAGCAAGAGAAGTATGAACGTTACAAAAAGCGAAACTGCACGTACTTTACAACTTACCTGGTAAAAAATAACACGTCAAAGTAGGATAAAAGATCGAACACCTTCAGTTTATCGCAAAGCTAGATGTACTTTTGCGCAGCAAACAGATCGAAAGAACATTTGCCGAAATACCGCCACTTAGGTAAATGAAAACAAAAAGGTTATTTGGTTTTCCATTGTGCATGTTGTCGCATAGAAGCCAAATATACAAAATTTAAATATATGTGTGCATGGCTAGATGCAGGTTTTTCCCTTGAAAGTTCAGAGGCTTATTCATTAGGGGAAAAGATCAACTTTCAATGCATGTGTACAAGGCTAAATATATTTCTTTGCTTTAGAGTGTTAAAGGATGATTCATTAGAGATCAGCATCAAGTTTGAATGATCATGCTATCTGTCTATGTGGCTTACCTCAGGTAAACACAAGTTTCTAAGACAAAGATCTTAATGCAAGGTATCACTAAATAGATGTGAACAGCAGCGTGTAAAACAAATATTTCAGTAAAAGGATAGTATATTTCAACTGTATGAGCACTTAATATAAGGCTGGGAGTATAGTAAAAATGAATCAAATGCAACTAGAGTGACTTTTCTTCTGGTAAAACTTTAAATGTCGTTCCAACCTGTCTCCTGACAGTTTGCTCCTGTTTTTCCTGGAGGACAGATACAGATGAATGTTTCTCCAAACTTGCGACAAGATTTTCCAGCAGTACACGGTTTCTCACAAAGACCACCAATAAAGAATGAGAGTTAAAAATCACGAAAGATTTACATTTTCATGTTCTAAGTAAGCTTAGGCTGGTGACCGTTGCAATTATAGGGGAGTTAAAGATCCTAATTTTACTCAAACAAAATACAAAACAAAACAATACTGAAAAATCCGAGAAAATAAACTCTTATCAATTTAAGAAGCAGTGTAGAGCTGTAATCTGTTTTTCAAAATTTTGACGGAGTTTTGGAAGAACCATTTCTCCGGAATGTCTCCATTGTGCATATGATATTTTTAATCTATTAGAGCTTTGATCTCATCGCATTTATATTGCACTTAGGGACCAACACTCCCCATGGCTGGTTCGGGCCAATCAGGTTCCAAATGATTTCACAGCAAAGATAAATTCACTAGTAACTTAGCAATACCAGCCGACAACTTCTTTGAATTCGATTATAAAAGCATCGCCCGTATAAACTGGACGCATTCACCCTCATAAAAGATAAAGGTACTTTTTATTTCTCCTCCATATTTGTTGCTGGCGTTACATCTGTATTCTCCAAGTTTCTCTACTTGGATATCTTCAATACTCTATTTTTTCTGGTTCCATGTTTTGCCTGATTTTACATGAGTCCATAGGATAGTAGGTGGCGGCGTTCCAGACACATTACAACAAAGTAGGATAGTTCCACCCTTAACGACAGTGTGTTCTCCCAGGGAATAATTGCGGCAGGAACTATAAGACACATTAAAAAGACTAAAAGTTAGCAGTACTCTGGTAAAAAAGGCGGTTTTGGCATAAATCATACACCGGACAACCTACATATATATAAAGAAATTATAGGACTATTTCTCATAACCTTTCTAAGCTCCAATACGTAAACCCTCTCTGAATTAGTTCCTACCTGTACTAGCACTGTTCAAGATTTGAGGTTGGATATGCTTTGGATTTCCATTATACTCTAGGTAAGTGGTGATTTGACTGTTGCCCACAATTGCGCTGCACAAACATACCAACACATACATGTATCTGTGACTCTTACCAGGCCCCGGTTGTTGGAAGGCTGGATAACGCTATCCGCTGGATAAATTTCTGTTTGGTGGATAGTGTAGTACGTTTTGCTATCACTTATCCGTTGGATAGCGATTTATCCGTTCGATATCGTTATCCGATCTATATAAAACTGGGCCCAGAACACTACTTAAAGACATGCATGTATATACTTTAGCAACAAAAGTTTTGATCCCCACACGAGGAGATTGGCAAAAAAGTACTCAGTGTTTTTGCTACTTAGGAGCACTTTTAAACCCAGTGTCGACAAACCAAAAAAAATATCACAGCGACCAACAAGGATAACATCATTAGCCAATGCGAACACGAATTGAAAACAAGCAAACTTCCTGAGGTGCGGGAAAACGCGAATGACCAAGTCGCGATTGGTTTTTAGATTTGCATCTGATTGGCCGAGAGGATGGCGCAAGTTTTCTGGACCAATCAGAGAGATGAGTTACGTAAAACCAAACCAATCCCAAGTTGCCTACGACACTCAACTGAAAATTGCTGTGTCAAAACTAAGGTATCAGTCTGAACCAATACCTATTGTAGGCAGGAGCCCATCACTTGGAGCCTTCAACTGCCCTGTATTTTTATCACGGCGTTTTCACAGGCAAGTCTAATTTTAGTTTGAATTTACCGCGAATTAGGACTCCCCATGAGAGCACATCGACCAATAAAGATTAGCGCCTGGTTAATTTCTAAATTTACTCGTTAATATATTGAAAGAAAAACAGCAGAGAGAAGCAAGGCTTCTTGCGATAGTTCGAGTGCAGATTCGTGTGAACAAAGGCGTCCCAAGCTCAGGTCTCGATAAAAAGCAAATGATATATTCATGAAAACATCACATGTTGTGAAACTCGGTGTTAACTTACGGGAGGAACCGTTGAGTTATAAGGAATAGCATGAAGAACGATAAACATTTCGAAATATGAACATTTTATACGTTAAATAAATAGAATCTATTCACATCTTTTGTGTCCGTTGTGGTTTCCGGCGTTCTCTGCCGTTTTAAGCTTGGGAAGCAGCAGTTCCGAGGAAAGTTCTAGTGAAGATGAACCTGACCCTTGACTGTTCAATAATCAAAGCGAGAATAGGCACCGTGAATTTTGCCGCATGCGGCAATTATCGACCGCACTTCACAAAAATAACCAAGATTTGACAAGATCGAAGCTCAATTCGAACATAGTTAGTAGAGTTAGTAGTCCCCCCTCTACTAACTATGATTCGAAAGAGTAGTATTATCTTGCGATCTAGAAAAACGCTCTTCATTTTTTTGCACCCCCTTCTGTTCAATCCTGCGTTGCAAAATGTCCTTTACGGACTATGTGGATGAAGATTCTTGAGATGAAGACAACTCGCACACAGCTTGCTCACGCAATTTCTTGTTTCCGCGCTCTCCATCATCGCTGGCATTTCGCCTCTTCATCGTCTTTAATTTGGACTCTTTTCTTAAAATTTTTTTAAGAGGGACCAGAATCAGAAGACGGATGACCTTTGATACACACGTAAATTAAAAAAAATATATAATACAAATAAACGACGATCCACACTCCTGAGAATTTTTTCCGCACGTGTGAAAAATCTGCTTAGGATAGTGGGATATATGTGGAAAAGATGAATTGGAATACTGGAATACAGCAAAAAAAAACAGCGGAATTTGCGTAGTTTTGAAATAAAGACGTCCCTGCATAGGGCCGCCATTTTTTTTTTCTTCGCTTTTGATGGATAGCATTACCCAAGTGAGCTCGAGTAGCCTATTTCCCGCGAAAAGATAGTCTAAAAATCAACCAGTCAGTGAAAACGCCGTGACATAGGCCTAGTATGGGAGTTGAACACTCCAAGTAATGGGCTTCTGTTGTAGGCCAGAGTTATGTAAAAGCTTGGGATCAAACAAAATACAATCATGACAGCCATAAACTTCAACACTCACAACGCACTGTCATGTTGACAAACTTAGTTACAGGGCTTCCAACACCATTCTCAGCTGTACATATGTACAGTCTTTCATCCTGACTACCACGGATGGTCAAAGGGAAGTTCACTCGACTGTTATCAGCAACTTTTGTCCAAGTTATCATTGGCGTTGGATTACCTTCCGCTAAACAAAACAAACTCACCACACCACCATTATTCACGATCTGCTTACCAGAAATGTTTGTAATTCTTGATGCATCTTTAAAAGGCAAAAATTAAACAAAAATTCACAAGATTGTAAGGGGTTTTTTCTGCAATTCAGATTCAGGTCAAATGATGTAAGACTTCGGAAGAAGTAATGTTAAAGTATGCCAATTAAGATTATAAGGTCAAAGTAACGACAATAAATGCAATAATCTATCCACAAACTTACACTGCACATCAATTGTTGATGTCTCTGTTGCATTGCCACATTCATTACTGACTTCACATTTGTATTCGCCAGCTTGACTCCTGTTAATGTTTACAACACTCAGCATGTATCCATTTTGACGCTGACCATCAGGCTTCATCCAAGACACCATTGGAGGAGGTATTCCGGATGCACTACACATCAGAGTCACATTGTCACCTTCCGTGACCATCTTGTTGCCTATTGCTTGTATGGATGAAGGCACTTTAAAGATAAGTAACCTGAAGTTAGCATTTATCTCTCAATGAGCGAATGAACCGACGTGGTAAATAGGTGCCGGTATAGCGTCAGACCAATCAGAATCGAGTATTTTGGTCACGTGGTACAAATGGACCAATCAGAAAGCCGTATTTTCACATTCTATTCTGATGACGCGTCTAAAACCGAGTAGGCGCCTGAGGACGAGTTTAGTGGCGGTTACGGGCAGTTACGGGCGGTTCAGGTGTCAATGGGTTAACCCATTGACACATACACCCACCTCTCCTTAACCACGAACTCGTTCTCAGGCGCTTTGGAATGTGAAAATACGGCTTTCTGATTGGTCCATTTGTAGCACGTGACCAAAATACTCGATTCTGATTGGTCTGACGCTATACCGGCACCTATTTACTACTGTGGTAATAAGTCTTACGTTTCTTTTCATCTCTACAAACAATTAATACAAGAAAGCGCAAATAAAAGGGTCCTGCCAGACCTGAGCTTGGCTGATATCATAACGATTACAAAGCTTGACACTTGATAAGGTTAACAATTCGCACCAAGCAACTGTACTCCTCTAAGAATACTAGCAGGGTGCACTGGTAGGGTGCATTCGAAAATAATACTGGTACATTGCATTCGAAGTGTTGCACTTCGCGACGAAACTGAGTATATTACGAGACAAACGGTCACAATTTCCTATTTTTCACAACTATAAAAGTAGTCCAGTGAATATGGAAATCATATGGAAATTATCTAAAAGTTCCAAAGAACGCATGAAACATTACTCACAGAACAGATTACTGCCATGAAATTCGAAGCAGGTATTTTTAAACCGTACCTGGAGTATTTACATACCTCAGTACAAAGATCAAGGCTTACCATTCACAGTAACAGTAACATCCATACTAGATACTGTTCCTACAGTGTTGTTAGCCACACATCTGTAGACAAACACTCCTCCACTTACCAATGTTTCGCTCCCCATCCCTGAAAGGCTGAGGGTCATGGTAGTGTAATTTTTAAGCAGCTAGTAGGTCGTCACTTCTGGCTTAGTATCAGCTGAGCATTTTAAGGCAATAGTATCACCCTGACATGCTTTGCCGTCGATCCCAGAAGTTTTAAATTGTACATTCTCTGGTTTTTCTACATTGAGTCGGTAATTTAGTGTACATAAATCAGTGTAAAAATAAAACAAAAATTAAGGGATAATTTGATAAAGTAGCAGAATAAGACTGAACGTGATATGATAAAAGTCGTAAAATGATGAGATTATTTTACAATGACCCTTTGGTGTTTGCATAAGAGAGGTCTGACTGTATTACAAATTACATGCCTTAATCTGTGTGAAATAAGCGATACCTTAAACCCAATTAATACAAAATGTGCACATGTACATTATACATGTGACAATAGCCATCGTCAGAGTGTATATTTACAAAACATACAGATAAACGCAAACTTTTAAGGAAAAGGAACTGTCAAATTTACGCAGCACAATAATGTTTGCTGTCTCTGTTGCATTGCCACATTCATTACTGGCTTCACGTTTGTATTCACCAGCTTGACTCCTGTGAATGTTTGTAATCTCCAACCTGTATCCACTAACACGTTGACTCTCAGGTGTCATCCAAGACACCATTGGTGGAGGAATTCCAAAAACATTACAAATAAGAGCCATATTGCGACCCTCAGTTACATTCTGATCTTGTGTTATTAGGATAATTGCAGGCTTAAGCACAAAGATCATTGCTTCCCTAATATAAATGTGCTTTTATTCCTCTTCAGCTCGATTGTCTTTCACAAATAAAAACATAAGAATATGCACATATACACTCGATTGCCAAAAACGTTGACACCCAAAAAAATATTAGCAACGAGCGATGAGACCCAGCGGCTTTATGGATAAAAATGTACATGACAACCTTGTATACATATTGTTGCATGTGGCAAATGATAAAAGCCTCAACGTTTTCATGCAAGAAAAGAATGAACATCGATAGAGATGTTCCTGAATAATGGAATGCCACAGAGCAAACATTTCGCATAAGGCCGTTGAGTCCCATCAATCATGGATCCTGCTTTATAAGTGTCAACGTTTTCGTAATCGAGTGTCTGTTCGCTCATGCAAATGCTGTCTTTATGTGTGTAGTTTTTCAAATTGTTCTCGAATAAACACAATTTGGACTATTTGCTTACCATTCACGGTGACAGTAACACTCATGCTGTATTCTGATCCTAAAGAGTTATTTGTAAACAAAAACTCCTTCACTTTCCAAAGTCTTGCTCCACATCCCCGAGACAATAGTGTTTAGAATGGCAGTTTCGTTCTCAAACAGCTGGTATGACGTTACGCCTGGATAAGCATTAGCTGAGCAGTTAAAGCTCATGGCTATTCCCCTACATGCTTTGTCGTTCATGGCAGAACTCATTAACTGAACATTCTCAGGTTTGTCTGAGGACAAAACACACAATTTATAAATACAGTTTAATTGGAAAATTAAACGAGACTTACCTGTAAGTTGAAGTTTGATTGAAATTCTATCCGTCACCAAGCACTGAGGGATTACGTGAGATAGCATTGCGCCTGCGCGAACTCAGTTTTTAAAGCACTTGCCATGTGTGCAGGGGAAAGAAAACCCTGACCAGCAAAATGGGAGGGCCTTAAAAGGGAGGGCACGTAATCCCTCAGTGCTTGGTGACGGATAGAATTTCAATCAAACTTCAACTTATAGGTAAGTCTCGTTTAATTTTCCAATTCTATTCCGTCACCGCACTGAGGGCTCACGTGAGACTTCAAAGCCCACTGCACACATGAATAGAGTAATGACCAACCAAGCAAGTCATATTGGTCAAAAACAGTTTATTAACTTTACTCTTGTAACAAAACGTTAGAAAAGCTATCTGTGTTGATAACAGGCTTGCTATAAAACTTTGCAAAAGTGTCAGATGAGCTCCATCCTGCAACTGATAGGATGTGCTCTAATGGTACAGATTTCAACAAAGCCTTAGATGTTGCGGCAGCCCTAGTACTGTGGGGCTTGAAAAGGTTTACATCAATTCCTGACTTTTGCATTACAGCTTTGACCCATCTACTGATGGTGTCCCGGGAAACTGGTTTAAATGGCTTGTAATGACTAATAAACAATTGTTGTGCACCTCCACGTAGAGAAGAGGTACGATTAAGATATGCCTTCAAGGTAGTGACAACACAAAAGGGTTGTCCGGGTAAGCTTCAAACTTAACAACAGTGGGTTTCGACCCTGGCTTAGACTGTTTAATAGGCCTGGAGATAATAAAAGTCACAGAAGTTTCTGAAACAACCATGTCCTCCAAAGACAAGTAGTGAATTGTCTGCCCCCGTTGAGCTGATACTAATGACATTAAAGTGACTAATTTTAAAGTCAGATCCTTTAGTGAGCAGTCTGTAATAGAGATTGTCTTAAGATAGTTCAGAACCTTGCTCACATCCCATGTCTCAGTATATCTTGGGTTGGAGGGTCTTGCTTCGTAAACTCCTTTTAAGAACCTCTTAACACTCTCTTGTGCTCCAAAAGTCATCCCGTCCACAGGCTTTAAGACACTGGATAGAGCAGACCTTGCAGTGTTAATACCACTGTAACCGATGCCTGACTCAAATAGCTCCACTAAAAAATCTAGTGCCTGGGGGACAGTGGCAGGAACTGGATCAATCTGTTTTTTATGACAATATGTAGTCCATCTTTTGATGTAAGATGAATACTGCTTTGAAGTTCCTTTCCTCCAGGACTGTAAGATGATGGAGGTTGCCTTTTGAGAAATTCCTTGTGTCTCATAGGACTGCCAGACAATCTGCATGCAATCAGAACCATTTTCCTGAATAGGGGGTGGATTTCTTGTGGCATCCCCGGCATTTGTAAGGCAGTTCGTTGTTGTGGTAACACTCTTGGAGCAGCCACTAACATGCGAAGAAGTTTGAGAAAACAACTCTGGGTTGGCCACATTGGAACTATCATCAATCGCTCTGCACAATCGGTTTGTATTTTCTGTAGGCATCTTGCAATTAAACTGAAAGGAGGGAAAGCATAGAACAAGTGTTTATCCCATGTTACAGAAAATGCATCAATAAAGGCTGCCCCTGGGTCAGGTTTCCAGGATACATAGCATGGAACCTGATGATTTAGTCTGGATGCAAAGAGGTCTATGGAGGGCTCCCCCCAGATATCTGTGATCTGTTGGAAAATATCAGATCTTATCATCCATTCCTTGTTGTCTGAGAAAACGCGTGATTCCCGATCTGCCTCAACATTTTTGGTCCCTGGGATGTGAGCAGCTGTTAACCATATTTGTTTTTCTATGCACCACTGCCAAATATCTTTAGCAATAGTGTGACATTCCCTAGAATGTACACCTCCCATAGCATTAATATAGTTCACAGTTGTAGAGTTATCAGAGTAAATCTTAACGTGAATGCCTTGCTCATTTTTGCAAAATGCCTTAAGTCCAAAAATTGCAGCTAACAGCTCAAGACAATTAATGTGATATTTTGCTTCTTCCTCTGACCATCTACCCCCTATTTTCTCTGTCTCTTTGACAGCTCCCCATCCTTTAGTTGATGCATCGGTGTAAATTATTACATCAACCTTTGAATTAGGCAATAATATGGGGTAGTTATTTGTCTGTATGTTATCATACCACCACTTTATCTCTGAAAAGCTTTCTTGGGATAATCTCATTTGAGCATTATAATTGCCATAGTTTTGTCTTAAGGCTGTAGTTTTATCCCTCTCAAGTTGTCTATAATACAGTGGTCCATATAAGATTCCAGGAAAACTTGACACTAAAAGCCCTATAAAGCTAGCTAGTTCCTGGATTGGGAGCTCAACAAGCTCCATCATTTTCTTGCATCTTTCCCTTATGCGCTGGATTTTTTCCTGTGTTAAGGAGACAGTCATATTAACTGAATCCAAGACAAATCCCAGAAATGTAAGGACTTGAACTGGCTGTAAGACCGACTTATCAGGATGTAGGATAAAACCCAATGTTGAAAATAAGTCACAGGTATCATTAATATTGGCTTGGCAGTCCTCCACGCTCTCCCCTTGTAAATAAGAGTCATCAATATAGCCTACATTTAGGTGACCCTTCTGGCGCAGCGTAGCATACACTGGCTTAAGGATTTTTGTGAAGAGTCGGGGTGCACAAGCCAGACCATTTGGTAGACATGTAAACTGAAACAATCTACCTTTCCAGCAAAACCTCAGATATTTTTGATCATCTTTGTGAATTGGCACTGAGTAGTATGCGTCACGCAGGTCTACTGAGGCCATATAACAGTTTGGAGTCATAAGCCTTATTGCCGATTGTAAGGTATCCATCTTAAAATGTTGATACTCCACATGTTCATTCAAATTCTTTAAGTTTAGAATTAATCTAAACCCTCCATCTTTCTTAGGGCGTATGAATATAGTAGAAATATATTCACCAGGGCAATGTGTGGTTTCTGAAATCACACCTTTGGTCAGCAGTTTATCAATTTCATTGTCAATGACCTCCTGCTCTGGTTTTGTAAAATTTATTTCTTTTGGTGGCATAAACTGCATTGGCTCTCCATTTTCAAACTCAATTTTATAATTTTTCACACTATTAAGTATGAAAGGATCTGAGGTTATGCATTGCCACTGAGAGGTAAATTGTTTCAGTCTTCCACCTGTAATTTTAATAGGTTGCTCTGACACATTTCTTACCTCAACGTTGTTAGCAGTCTGATTCATTTTGACTTCCCCTCCTCCTTCCTCTTGAAGTTCGGAGGATGTTTGTGGTCGTTTTTCCACGAGCCTAAAAAAGGCTTCCTGTAATGTTGGTTTCCTGAGCGTCCGCGGCTATGTGCGTAAGAGTTGTGCCTGTGATAATCAGGCTTGTTCGTTGATCGACCACTGTGTGTGGAGACTTTCTTTCCCACTCGATTGACCTCGGTCAATTCTTTCACTTGTTTCGGGAGATCATTGCCAAACAATTGGTCAGTGATCGGAACCGACGAGGAGCAAAGATGTTTGTATTCCTCGTGTAAATCCGGTTTGATAAATTCCCTTCGTCTTTGATTGAGTTCACTGTTTGCATTAGCGAACAATGTAAGTGCATCTGTTGACTTTTGAAGAAGGTCGTTTCCCGCTGGGAGTGACGACAAGTGCTCAAGGAGTTTGTCGATCATATTTGTCAACGCGCACATTCCTTTGAAGATGGATGTCTGCACCTTTTGCAGTCTAACATCTTGGGACCGGACTGTTGGAGTAAGGTGGTCCCATACTGGTTGATTGACTCGTACTTTTGTCAAGAATTCACAGTTCTCTGGTCTGTGATACTTGTTCAACTTTTCCTGAAGTTTCTCTTCAGGCAGCCCTTCTTTGAGCATGGCATTCACTACATTCGCCAGCTCTGTGTTTACACTTGGGCCCGTCTCCTCTTTCTTCAGCTCTTGTTTCAAGCTGTTAAGTACCTCAAATTTTCCTTCATTAGAAGGCATATTTTGAGCCCCGGTTGAGTCAGCCAGCTTTGTCACAGCTTCTTCTAAGCTCGTAGTTTTCTTCTTCGTGGGGGGCTCTTCGCTGACCTCGTGGTCATTCTCGGCAGATTTTGCCTCCTGTTCTTCCTCCGTGTCAACATATTGTATTTCAAAGTCTGACTGAAACTGTTTGAACGACTCAGCAATAGTCTTGGATAAATCTTGAGACATCTGGGTGAAGCCCTGTCTCAGCGTAGCGGCCAGCTCTTGTAAACCATGTGAGTCAGTTTTGGCGCCATCGGCGCCATCTCCTCTTTCGATGATTCTAACATTTGCTTCAATGTGTTCGCTTCTAGAGCCACTACTTTTCCTTTTTAAGTTGTCTTTCTCGCCCTTAAGCTCAGATTTATCCGAGGTCTCGGGCATTTTTTGCGAATTATCGCTTAAAACTAAAATTCTCAGCGTGTTGAAAAAACAAACGTCCGTTCGCTCCAAAGGCGGCAACACACTGAGTTCGCGCAGGCGCAATGCTATCTCACGTGAGCCCTCAGTGCGGTGACGGAATAGAATTAACCTTTGTAAGCTACATATTACAAAGTAACCAAGGAGTCTCCCTCTTTATCTGCCTGATGCCGAAGCTATGATTAAACAAGCCTCTCTAAAAAAAAAGTTACAGAGAAGGAAATCGATATACTTTGACAAATAAATACAAGAAACAACATGTAACAAAGGACAACTTTTGCATGTTCTTACACTGTACATCAATAGTTGCCGTTTTTGTTGCATTGCCACACTCATTACTGGCTTCATATCTGTATTCACCAGCTTGAGTCCTGTTAATGTGTGTAACCTCCAACATGTGTCCATTGTGGCGCTGGCCACCAGGCTTAATCCAAGACACTGTTGGTGCGGGGACTCCAGACACGTGACATGACAGAGTCACATTGCTACCTTCAGTTATATTCTGATTTGTGTTATTTGGGTGATTGAGGAAGGTACTGTAAAAGAAAAGTGAAAATGTGAAAGGATCTTAAAAGTAGCTAATAATCAGCTTGTACACTTTAACACCTGCATCATTTCATTCCCAACTTACAGTGCGTGTAATTCCTTTCGACTTAATTGCCACCGACAAACATCATGATACTTAAAATCATGCGTGTATACACTAGATGGCTAAATGGTAGACACCTAAAAATCGTTAGCGATGAGTTATGAGACTCAACAGCATTATGCATGCATATGTCTATAATAACCACAATAAGTTACAAGTGGTAAATGATAGAAGCCAACAGTGCTTTCCCGTGAGAGAAGGCTAACCATAAACAGCAATTTACCATGAATATTATCATAAGATGCAACTGTGCAAAAATTCCCATAAAGCTATTTACATGTAGTCTTATCATTCATGTAGTCTCATCATTCATGAATCATCCTTCCCCAAAAAAGTGAATCTTAAAAGTAGCCAATGACCAGCTTGTGCACTTTAACAACTGCATCGTTTAGTCCCCAACATACAACGTACAAGTAATTCCCTTCGACTTCATTACCACCTACAAACACCAAGATAACTAAGACCATGCACCTATACATTATGTGGCTAAATGGTAGACACCTAGAAATCGTTGGCGATGAATGATGAGACCCAACACATTATGCATGCACATGTCCATAATAACCACAATAAGTTACATGTGGTAGATGATGGAGGCCAACAACCCTTTCCTGTGAGAAAGGCTTATCATAAACAGCAATTTGCCATAAAATATTATAATGAGATGCAACTGTGCAAACATTTCTCATAAAGCTGTTTACATGTAGTCTTATCATTCATGAATCATCCTCGTAAAGTGTCAATGTTCTTCTACAACTGGGAGTATGTACACTCACGAACATGCCCAGTATGTGTGTATAGCTTATGGAACGGTTTAAACAAGCCCTAGTTTGGGTTATTTTGCTTACCATTCAAGTTGACAGTAACACTCATGCTGTATTCTGATCCTATAATGTTTTTGGCCACGCATCTGTAGACAAACACTCCTTTACTTTCCAAAGTCTTGCTCCACATCCCCGAGACACTTGTATTTAAAATGGCAGTTTCGTTCTCAAACAGCTGGTATGACGTAACGCCTGGATTAGCATTAGCTGAGCAGTTAAAGCTGATGACTTCTCCCGTACATGCTTTGTCGTCCATGGCAGAACTCATTAACTGGACATTCTCAGGTTTGTCTAGGATAGAAGAAAGAGACAATTAAGTGTCACTCAGAGTTCTCCAAAATTGTAGGGCAAAATGTTTTATTATATATAAACTGCAGATTTTTACAACAATTTCCAGCCTTAGGGAAAACTGTAACTGTACATGACAACGTAAATTTACAATACATTTTTACGTGTTTGATATTGCCAATCAAGTGCCAACACATCACTTACCTTAGCCCCATTCTGACAAAGCATGCACAATTCTCAATGGAAGGTTGTTCCTCGAATTTGTTCACTTCACACTTAGCCTCGTCCTCGCACCACAATTTTGGCACCAGATCACTGAACCGCAGGAACTCAAAAGTGGCCTATTAGCAACCACCAGACAAAGAAAAACAAAAACATGAAAAATTTCTTGGTTGTCGGTCCAGTTTTGAAAGGAAAAATGCCTGTATCCCTTGTCTTTCTTTTTTCCCCTCTTGCAGTTCCATAACTTCCTAATACTCAAACACCTAAAGTGAGTGGTGATTAAATCGCATTGATTTCGTTGATTGTGTTATTACATGCAACATTTAAGTCTAACCATCAACTTCGCATTTGGAAGTTTGGTGATGAATTCTCAAGTGAGTCAAGACATCATTTTCAATATGGAGGTTTTTTAATATGAATATATTAGGTCACTTCAAATGAGAAGTTCGTTTCTCAGCTAAGAGATACACTGAAATTCTTCTCCCTCCTTCCATTAATCGGCCAGCCAGCATACTTGCCAATTTGGCAAATAAAAATGTGGCACATGTACAGTATCATTAGATTTACTAGACTCTCATGTAGCATAATACAGAGTGTGGATGGGGTGACCAATTTTTTTATTTTATTTTAAGGTGACCATTTTTCAATTTGGGCCCTGGATAGGATTGAGTCTAGACAGTCATCAATTAACAATTGAAGAAACAGGATTCTTTCAAAAAAGTAAGAATATAAAAGCCTTCATAAGACGATACTGCAAAGTGCTGTGATTGTTTTTCACCTAAAGTGCACTGGTGGTCAGTTTTTTTAACTTACATGTGACACCTGAATTAATCTATTTCATTATAATGTAAACTATAAGAACAGTGAAACTAATACACAATATTAAAAGCAACCTCACCGACAAAAATACTCATGTGCCGATGCCACTTGAAGTTAAATACGCAATGCACAACATTACGGGGAAAATGGTATTAAAGCTTCACACCCTACACCAGTATTCTTTTACCATATGTAAGCTAGTAACTGTAACAGATAACAACTACTTCTCACACTGTACCTTTTACTGTGACATTTACAGTCTTCTCAGCTGTACCAACAGTGTTATTAGCCACACATTTGTAGCTGAAGTCTCCTTCTTTTAAATATTTCCTTATCCATACCGCAGCTGAGCTTTTTCCATCATTAACTAGTATTTCATTCTCAAACATTTGATAAGTATGCACTGCAGGTTTACCATCTGCTGAGCAGGTGATACTGATAACATCACCTTTACATACAACTGAGTCATTCACCATAAACTTTAAATTCTCTGGTTTATCTAAAGAGAAGAAAACAACAATATTTGATCATGCATCAGTATTAGAGCATGTGGCAAGTCCAATGCAATTGGCGACTGATACCTCCTCCTCTTCTTTCTTTTTTGACTTGCAGCTTTTTTAATATCATTTATTCTCTCCAAATCTCACAACACACTATACTGGGCTGTATAGCTCTTTCAGGCCCTGCTCGAAATATCACAACGTATTTCAATAAAATTGCCCACATGCCTTTAAAATTGCCCACATGCCTTTACCACTCGTAAAAGAGCTACATCTTCACGCACCTTTTTTTGTGGTTGATTTACACCTTTTTCCATTTTGGAGTTTTATTTTGCATTATTTTTTCCTACTACGGTACATGTATGACAATCAATCCTAAATTCTATGAAAAATAAAAACCAACAAAATAAAATTATCTACTTACAATTAACTTCAACTTTCACCGTGCGATTTGGTGCAGTTCCTATCCCATTATATGTTGTACAACGATATGTTCCACTGTTATTTCTGTTGGTTTCAAGGACAAACTGATTCCCAGTTCCCAGTACAACACTGTCAATGCCATGAGTATATACTTTGGTCCAGGTAATGTTTGGTGCTGGTTCACCATCTGCTATACACTCTAAAGTAATACTGGGGTCACCTTCTAAAACAACCGCATCACTACTTACGTTGTTAAATTCTGGTGGATCTGTTAAAGAATTAAAGACAAACAGACAACTTTGCATACTATCCGCGATATACTCCAATCTGACACTTGGGTCACCTTCAACAACAATTACATCTCTACTGATTGAATTGAACTCTGGTGGATCTGTTCAGAAGCGACAGCAGTGATAGACTATCCCATAGTCAAAATTTGCAAAATTGAACCAATCTGCCCCAAAACTTAGCTACTAAAATCAAAGCTAAAAATCCTGAAATGTAGTAACAAGTACCACTTTCAATTCCTTGATATTTGCAATTATACGAATTGCAGGTTATTGGAGTATGTGACAGGACTTTGTGCTTCTGTAAGATTTCCAGGTTGACTATGATAAAGACAAATGAATAAAGGGGTAAGTTTCTAAAGAAACTGTGGTGCTGCGTCGACAGCATTGACCCAAAAGATCCATTAAGATCATTGATCACTTTACGTGTACCTCCGCCAGTGTTATTTACTGCATAACTCGCACTTCTTGGAATAAGTTATACATCGGCGAAACAGGAAGACGACTGGGTGACCGATTCCGAGAACACCTTCGCGATGTGGAAAGAAATGACAAGGACGCATCCAAACCAGTCGCTAGACACTTTAATCTTCCTTATCATTCTAAACAGCATATGGCAGTTTGCGGCCTTTCCTTACATCTTGGCAGTTCGGAAAGCCGTAAACACTAGAACAAAAATTTATATTCCAAATCGGCACCCTTAATCCCCACGGAATGAACGAGCGCTTTTCATTCAACTAATTTATTCCTGTTTTCTCGTCACCACATTCCCACCAATAGCGTAGCTCCACTTTCTACATATAAATCCACACACAACCCACAATTCCTCTGATCGCTCTGCCGAAGGGCTAACGCCCGAAACGTCAGCCTTTAAACTCTTTAAACAGGCCAATTTACGTTTTCAACTCAGTTGATCACACTAAATTTCTCTCTAATACTCTCCCATCGACGCAGCACCACAGTTATATTCCTAAGCTACCCAGAAAACAGCAGCACTTTGCGTCAAGAATGAATGAAATGAAATATCTAACAACGAAACGAGATTCACCTTCACGGAATGATTTCAATATTTTTCAACAAATAGAAACAGTAGAGATAACATTCATGAAACTTTTGGTGGTTTACTTACACTGTACTTGAACATTCACGCTGTCGCTGGTAGTCTCGAAATTACTGTTGGTCATGTCCATTTCGTATTCTCCACTCTCAAATCGTTGCAATGCAAATATTGTAATTTCTGCTCGTGTAGCATTGATGTTTTCTTAAATGCGACCCTGGTAAACACTTTCTGGAACCACTGCGTCGCGGTTTATGTCATGTTAGGACACAATGGTGCGGGAGGGAGAGCTGCTGACGAACCGAAAGATAACTCCGTTAAACGTTCCACTAAGGTTGTACCGCCACACAAAGGTGATATTGTTGCCTTCCAAAACATAGAACGGATTTGGAGGAGTTCCCGTAAATGTTGGTGCTAATTCTACAGAACAAAACCAAAAAATTATGAAAACAGCACAGATCCTTTAACCAGTTTGGAAATACGACCCGACAGTCCAGCGCGAAGCTGTTTTTCGCGCCAAAAGAAACGCTCGCTCAGAAATGATGAACTCGTGTATCTACGTGCTTTACGAATAAACAAAACCAAGCATGAGAATATAGACACGTTAAATATGCCTGAAAATATTGCAATTTCCGCGCCGTGAAGGCGAACCACGCTTCAAGATGCGACAGTAGGGAAATAAAGGAATAATATGCAATTATATTTAGGGGTCACGAACTGTAACCAGCGGCTACATCGCGCTTACTTCTTCCGCCTACACCGCTTCACATCTCATCACCCATTAGATATTGCGGCAAGTTGAGTCTGTTGAGAGGGTACGAAACATGAATAAGAGTTGCCTGAGGCGTAGCCGAGAACAAAAGTCTGGCTTCTACAATTCAATCCAAATTATCTAAATGCTTCATATTTCGATAAACGCACAGCTGATGAATGAATATGTCCTTTACTTACAGTTTAAATGTTGATTTTTCATAAATCAAATTATTTGGAGAAACAAGGCGCATTACCTCTTTATAAATCGGCTCTTTCAAAAATATGTTCAAATAGAACAAGAATAGTTCAATAACTTACCAGAGAAACATATACAACCCGAAATTAGACATTAAGTACGGAAAAATTATCAAGACTGAAATATGGCGAGAAAAAAGGAGACGCAGATACGCTGTTAAAATCGGAAAGCGTACGGATATCCCGGATGTGCGGAACTCGCCTTATAGGTTCACCATTCTTGAACGCTGTTTACCACACATAACGGCCAGAAAACTGCGTAGCGTTGTGTTAAAATTGTTGAAATATATTGGATTTATCTTTAATTACAGGTTTAAGAAACTATTTACCGACCTATTGAACGGCGGGATTTTAAAGTCACACGCTGCGTGCTGGTTGACTTTATTGCAAGCGTCAGTGTGAAACAAGTTCTCTTATTCGCTTTTCTTCACGTTTTTAACAATGAATGTGGTGAAGCTCAACACGAATTACGCTTAGTAAATGATAATCTCTCGATTATTTGTGTTTGTGAAAGTGTCTTGCGTATTTGGTGAACAAAAAAGGGTACTGCTCGCAGTAAAAAAAAGACAAACAACATGCAGCACAAACAAAAAGAAAATAAGCGTTAACATTTGATTTTTTTCTTTAGAACCAACATGGAGTGGACTGAATAATATTGAATATTCTGAATATTCAAGGCAAAGAAAGGAAGCATTGCAAGGGGCCAAATTTGGGATAAAATAGCGAACAATCTGAACAGCCTTCAACATCCCCAGTTCAGAGTGACGAAGCGATCTGTCAGAGAATGACATATGCTTTTGAGCGACAAATTTAGCGCAAAGATGCTAGGTGAAGAGAAGGCAAGTGGAATCGATACAGATTTGAGTGACGTTGAAAAAGCGCTTGAGAAGATAAAAGAAAAAGAAGCTGTGGTTGAAGAAACAGCGCAAAATGACAAAAAGAAAATCGATGGTGCTAAAGCAGCGGAAATGAGATACAGAGCTCCAGAGAACCTTGGCGGGACACAGAAAAGACAAAGGAAAGATGAGGTAGAGAATGAAACAGCAGCAAGAGCAAAACGTCGAAGAAGTGGTAGTGACACGGAAGCGTGTTTGCGAGAAAAGAACGATCTCATGCAGAAATGAAAAATGGAAGAATTGCAGCTACAGAAGCAGCGACTAGAGGCTGAAAGTAAGAAGGAGGAGCAGTCCAAAAAGCAACATCAGGATGTTGCTAATGCAGCAGCAGCAGTCTCAAATTATCATAAAACTTCTAGAAAAACAAAACTAAGTCATGGCCAGATTTTGTTCTGTGCAAGATGAATGTAGTTTTCAGCAATTTCAGGCATATGTTTGTTGATTTTGTTTTGTATACTTGCTTTTATTTTATTGTTAGGTTTTCCATGTTATATCAGCTTTATGTTCAGACTTTTTGATTCAAATAAACTTGATTAAAGACTCAATGTTACAGACACTGGACGTTTTGTCTTCCTGTGTTCAGGAGTGTATTATTCCACTGATTTATTCTGTGATTATGTTCCTGATAAATTTTATCTACCATAGGCTCTAGAAGAATTTTAATACATTTTTCCATGTTAATGGAATGTACGGTACACCTTCGGTACACCCTTGGGCTCGTGGAAAGGAGGATTTCAAATTTTCTTGGACATTTCTTCGTAAATACAGTACATGACTTTTCCAACCATGCAAACGGAACTGTTGTTTACTCCTCCTGACAGTCGCGCCATCTATTGATACATGTAACGTGACTTTCGTAGTGAATTTAACTAAATCTTGCGATTACAGTAATTCAGCTGATATTTTGTAAAATGTCGAGTGGAAGCTAAAGGGTTCTTTGGGGATCTTTTGTCGGCTGATAAACAGCAGTAAATATTAGCCCATCACGAGTCTAGCCTGACCTACATTTAAGTATGCTGTATGTTCAAGCCTCTATCACGTTGAGAAAAGCCGTGACAAAAATTTTAAAATACTGCACTAAAAATCTTCATATGAGATCATTCATGTCAATCAAAAAGCAACGCGTTCACTTCGCAACCGTTGTTTGTTTCCGTCACGCATCTCTCTTGGCAAATATATACATCACGCTCTAAGTCATATCTAATTCTGTTAAGAATGAACTGAAACGTTCCCCTTGAAACACGTAAAGTTTTTTTAAATCATTAGGTGTTCCAAACTGTGTTCCACCAGCCAAGGTTCCTTTGGAAACGCCGGCGCGATCGTAATACAGTAACTTGCTGGCTCTCATTAAAGGAAACCAGAAGAAGAATAAAGGAAGAAACTTTCAAAAGTAATCCTCTCCTTGCAATAACAACATTCAATATGGACTGTTGCATTCACCTGCGTTGCCTTCTAGCATTAAATATTGTCTTAAACAAACCGAACTTCTCCCGCTCTTCGTTAAGGTTTCCCTCTGCCATTTTGGATGGGGCGACACCGCTGGATGGATGGTTTGCTTTGTCTTTTGAATTTGGCGCGACTGCATTAGGTTCAACGTTTGAAACCGCTGCCGTGCTATCGTCGTGCCACTGCCGAGCCAAATTCATTTGAATTCGGCACGGCAGTAGCACGTCGTTCGGAACAGGCCTTAAAAATCACGAAAGATGTATGTTTTCACGTTTCAGATAAATTTTCACGTTTTAAATTTATTCAATCAAAACAAAACATAACATAATTAAGAAAAAAAAACAGAGACCACCAAACTGTTAAAGTTTAAGAAGCAGGTTAGAGCTGCAACTTTATCTTAAAATTTGACAGAGTTTTGGAAGGACCATTAAATTTCTACGGGATTTTAAATTGTTAGAGCTGTAATCACAGCCCCAATGTGTTGAACTCAGGGACCAGCACTCCCCATGCCTGGTACGAGCCAATTCAGGTACCAAATAATTTCACAGTAAACATGTATTAACTAGTAACTCAGCAATACCAGCAGACAACTTCTTTACATATTGTAAGAGAAGCATTTCTCATATCACCTTAAGTCACTCACCTTCATAAAAATAAAGGTACTTTTGATAGCTCCTCCATATTTGTTGTTGGCATTACACCTGTATTCCACAAGTTTCTCTACATGGATATCTTCAATACTCCATTTTTTCTGGTTCCATGTTCCGCCTGATTTTACATGAGCCCATAAGACAGTTGGTGGTTAGTTTGCAATAAAGCACAATAGCTCCACCCTTTACGGCAGTGTGATTTCCCATGGCCACAATAGCAGCAGGAACTATAAGACGCATCACAAAGATTCAAAGTTCGCAGTCCTCCGCTTAAAAAAGACGGTTCAAGCATAAAATCTTAAACTTTCTATGAAAGGATATCACAAGACTATTTCCTATCATCTTTTGAAGTTCCGATCTTTAGACCGTCCTTGTATTAGTTCCAACCTGTGTTAGGGTTAACCGGATGGATATGCTTTGGATTTCCCATCGTAATCTGGGTAAACTAATGGTGACTTGACTGTTTCCCACTCTTTCGCTAAATAAACGTACCAAGATAAGCACATGTAACTGTGTACCAGAACATTCCAAAATGACGTACATGTATATACATTAAGTTTTAATCTCCACGCGAAGAAGCTACGCGAGTCTTAAAGCAGTCAACAAAGGAACTGGCGCCACTGTTCCAAAAACTAAACATAAACGTACTTTAGAGTAGTTTTTAATGTAGTTTCGTAAAAAAAAACCAAAATAACTGCAGCGACCAATAAGAAGCAAGATTAACATTATCCTTAGCCAACGAGAACACAAAGTGAAAACAGAAAATTTCTTGTAGCGCTGATCGGTTGATCTGATTGGTTGTAAGGAAGGCACGAGTTTCTTAGACCAATCACAGAGCTGAGTTAGATAAAACCCAAGCCAATCCTGGATTGCTCTCGAAACTCAATTGAAGATTGCTTTATTCTAAAACTAAGATATCAGCTTAAACGAATAAACATTCGTGAATTCTCTGCCCTATTATAGGTGGACGTTATACAAAAGCTTGAGGGTAAAAAAAAGTAGTCATAACAGCCATCACTACAACATTTACAATGAATGGTCATGTTGACATCCTTAGTCAGAGGTCTTCCAACACCATTCTTAGCGGTATATCTGTACGGTCCTTCATCCTGAGTACCACGGATGGTCATAGGGAAGTTCACTCGACTGTTATCAGTGACTTTATATTAAAACCGCAAATCCAACCAAAATGTCGTTTTTTATAAAATACAGCGTCGATGTCGACGTTATGGTCAGCTTTGTAGCCGGAGTTTGACACGGTGTGAAACCCTCCCCCGTTGAAAAATCCTGGCCACAATCCTTTCAGTAAAGGTAAGAGAAAACTATTTCTACCTTTAATTGTTATATAAACAATCTTCTCCGAGGCGCCAACAATGCTATTAACCCACACATCTGTAGGAAAAGTTTCCTTCTTTTAAATATTTTCTTGTCCGTACTCCAGCTGAACTGTCTCCATCAGTAACTGGTATTTCATTCTCATACAGGTGATAAGTATGCACTGCAGGTTTACCATCCGCTGAGCACGTGATCCTGATATCATCACCTTTACAAACAGTTGAGTCACTCACCAATAACTTGACATTCTCTGGTTTATCTAAAGACAAACAACAAATATTTAAATATTTCATCAATCATCAGAGCGAAAAATGGAGGTGGCATTTTGATATGCACTGAAGTTGTGATCACATAAGGGTGGTATAAAATGCGAAAAAGATAAAAAAAAAAAAACAGCCGGTAGGGTAGTTTCAAAACGTGTTTGTCATAAAATGTTAAACTGTAGGGCCGAAAAAAAGTTGATTCCACATATTACAAGCCAAAAGCAAAAATCCAAGCCTAGTGGCGTTTATACTTCAAAGACCCGACGCGAAACAGAAATGTTACTTTAGCTTGTAACATACTGCTTACAACATTGTGACTTTGTACGTAACATACTCGATACAGTAAATTACTCATGAGTAAAACTCCCACATTTATGGAGTATTTGACACTAAACATATGTACTCGTATACATGTACTCACAATTGACATCCACTGCAACTGTGTGATTTGATGCAGTTCCTATCCCATTGGACGCTGCAGCAATATGTGATGTTTGGTGTTGGTTCACCACCTGCGGTACACTCTAAAGTAGCAACTGGGCCTCCTTCAATAAGAACTACATCTGCACTAACATTGGTGAATTCTGGTGAATCTGAAAAAAAACAAACAAACAAAGGGAATGTGCATGACATGGGAATTAAGATAAGGCGTGGGAGGAAACTAAATAATGCTGACGTTAATCTGTACGTGTATTGGAGCGTTAAAACTGTGATATTAGATGGTCACCATAAAGTAGTAAAATCCATAGAAACAAAGGACAGAATAAAATCGTACCTTATGTATTCATTTATATCGTATCCTTTAACATATTTTACTTACACTGCAGAGTAATTATCACTGTGCTAGAAATATTCTTTTCGTCTGGTGCTTCTGTTACTTGAAGTGCATAATTCCCAGCGTCTGCTCAGGTCAGTGAAAGTAAAGTAATTTTTGTTTGGTTCGTTGCGATTTTCGCTTTCACCTGACTTTGGCAATCCCGAAATATAGCTACGACTGTGCCTTTTGTACCACCTTCTATTACACATTTTGGAGATGATGGCAATATCCGATGGAACTTAGCTTGACGAAACGTTCCATTAAGAGTATAGCTTCACTGCAGGAATAACCCGTTACCTTCCACAACATAGGATGGGGATGGAGGCACTTTAGTGAAAACGGGCTTGGACTCTACAAAACAAAAGGAAACGAAAATTTGTATGGCTTGCGGTACGTTGTTGTTAAATTCGCCAATAAATTCTATATTTGTAGAGCTGGAACGTTAAACAAAACTGTTGAATAGTAAATAGTTTAATTGTATGCTTCGTATGTTTCACATTTTGAGTCTTACATCCAATAACATCACAGCCAAACTGACCAGTCAGTTAATGCCTATTAGACCAAGAACATTCGATTAAAGACAACTATTCACTTGACTCTGATAATGATTTCCGCTCAGGTAGTCGAAACGTCAGTCACCATTACCGACAATAGTCCTTCTCAGGATTTGACTCACCTGAACGATCAGACTACGCTATCACGTGCAGATCTAGTTATGCACATGACGAACTGCTCTAACTCTTTCGTGATTTGTAATTGTAACTTTTTTACTGTATTATCAGCAGCAGCCCACCCTCAAACAGGTCAGTGCATAGAGTGCGCACGGGTGTTACCCTAGAAACTAAGCCTACTGCATTTTCATTGGCCATCCTGCCTTGAAAGTGGGCGATGCTCGCCCTCAAGCGAAAAACCTTGAGGACAAGTGTTTGTAGTGTCCATAGAAACACCCTTCCAAATACAATGATTTTGACACTCAAACACCTAAGGGTCGATATCTTTCCAATTTAATCACCAGAAGAAAACAAAAACGGTTAATTTTTACGACTAACGGTTACAATTTCTCAATTCTTACGCCTAACAGCAAAATTGTAAACCCATTGAGACCCTAAAATATTTATCTGTGCACGTAAGAAATGTCATTGTTATCAGGATCTGTTGAAGCAGAGTAAGCTGAAAATCATCGAGAACGGTGGCAGTTTCCTGCTAGCCTTATCAATCCAAGTTAAATGTATTTTAATTAGTTCACGCAAACAATCCACAGCCTAATTTACATATAATTTTGACGCATCAGTTAGACGTCAGGATGAAGTTTGATAAAAATAACCTAAAATATCTAGATAATTCTTTAAGGCAAGAGACAAATAATATTCTTTGTTCGAGGGTTATGGTTTACGTTAGATTTAAAGGCAGTCCTTTATTGGAATGATGCAAAATTACTATTTTCATAGCCGTAATTATATCCTATTTCCTCCCTCAAACCAGAAATTTCGCGGTGCATTTCGACCTTTGCAATTGAAATATTTGCATCTTTTGGTTTCTCTTTGAGTTCCGCATGGTCTTCGTTTCTTCCAGTAAATCAGGCTCTTCTAAGAAAATATATGACATGAAAACATGTTTTAACAGTTCTTCTGTCATTTTCAGTTTTGATTTATACAAAGTACAAATTTCAATTTAAAATGTACAACAAAATGCTGATTGGACAAAACATACAATAGAAACAGAATAATGTATGCAATTACAAGGAAAGTTTCAAATTAACATGGTAAAGTTGTTGATTAAGTGTAAGTTGCTCCCATTGAATGTGAATAGCCTCTTTTATTTTAAGTAGAAGAATATTCACAGCACGAGCTCGCAGAAAATAAAGATTACGGGAGGAAGATGTGATGCGCCGAAGAAAGAGCTGAGAAAACTTTGAAGTCTGCTTCCACCAGAAAGACGACTAGGTGAGTTTCCTCAGTTTTCTGCCCCTCGAGTCCACGTTTTACTCCGCCGAGCCATAGAGCTTCTCCTGGGTTCTTGGCCAGCGTGATCGTCAATACTTTTTTAGTCGCTCTGCCGCTGATCGCCCATCAAGACCGGGAAATTGCTTCGCTTGTGGCAGATTTGGTCGTTGGCGTCCAGATGCAACCAGGTCGCTCCTTCTGGATCTAGAGGTAATCTTGGTGGTAGATGAAGAATTAATTCGTTGACGAGCAAACATTGATTACTTGACATTTCTGCTATAAACCCTTTGTATGATTTGGACGATCTTTTATGTCAAGGCCTTGTTCAAGTTTCCGAAAACTATGAACTTGAACCGCCAGGTGTTAGCGGTAACTATGACTGAAGATCCGCAAGTTTCTGTAGAAGGGAAGCTGAAGAGCCGTGGTTTGTTTCTTAGCCTATTGCGAGAAAATATTCGCTCCTCCTAACATTGCTAATCCGTTGAGTGTTTCCGTTCAAGCTAACGGTATAAAAAGAGACTTATCTTAGATCTGAGGCATATTGATTTGCATATATTTGAACAGAGTTTAAGTGTCAGGGGTTGCATACCATCAAGAGTGCCTTGTTCAACAATTGTTATCCTTTGTCTTTTGATTTGAAAGCAGGCTCTTACAATTTTGATATTTTTTCCGATCTATCACAAATATTTGGCTATATATATTTTCGTGGGATTTTGGCGCAGGGTATGTCAGGAATTTTCATTTCACGGTTCTACCTTTGGGCTTTCTGGTACACCTTTTATTTTCACAGAGCTTCTTAAACCTCTGGGAACCCATTTGAGGGGACAAGGAATTCCAATCACTATGTTTTCCGATAACGGAATTGGAGCGGGTAAATCGTTGAATTCCGCTAAGATTAACAGTTCGATTGTTCGTGCGGGTGTTTCACGCTGTGGCCTCGAAATTAATAAGGAAAAGTCCAATTGGGTGGGCGCGAGAAAATTTTCTTGGATTGGCTGTACTATTGACAATCAAACGGGGCTCATTTCCGCAAGTGGAATGAGAATGGAAAAACTATTATCTGACCCTGAGGCTTGCTCCGTTTTAGATGCGTCAGCGTCCATCCATGTAAAAAAGATTGCTTCTGTTGACGGTCAAATTTATTCATGGTTACACCATGAATAAATTACGCAGTCGTAATTCTCATGCAAATTTTATTTTGAAAACTACATATTAGAAATAACTTTTTTACTCTCCTAAGCGTTGAACTCCATTCCCAATTTATGGCTGGAGGATAAGATGCTGCATACCTCTCATTGCCAGACCGTCTGTGAATTTTTTTGTAGACTCATTTTCTTTCTAATGCCACGTTTCTACTTATTTCCCCCCGTGAATAACGGATTCCTACAAACAAAGGAATGAAAAAAAATTCCAAATTGAATATGTACAGGATTCAAAGATTGTAAAGTTCCTGGCATACAGGGAGAAAAATATGCTGAACAGCCCTTCATTTGGAGGTAAAGATAACTATTTTTAGAAATGAATATGTTTACAGGTTGGAAATTTGTCACGAGTTCAAGAAGCATTGTAAGCAAGCAAATTAAAAACAAAAGACATGACTAACTTTCGCGTGTGGTTTAGAGAAACCCATTCATTAACGGTTTGATGGTTGATTGCTTTACTCAAATAGCGATTTCGTTTTTTTTTAAAAGTTTCAAATAAATTTCCTTCTGACCTTTCACAGTTTCTGCGAAACGCAAATTTATCAATATATAGTGTAATCGGGCGGACGCTGACATAAATCGAATCTAACTTGAACAACGCCGCGTTGGAGAAATGTTTTATATTAACGGAACCTCCAAGCGTCTATCAAATCTCAATTGGTTTATTAAACTTGAAAGCTCGTAAAAACTGAAATACAATAAATTAAAATAGGCCGTTAAACTCAATCAAACGGGGTGTGTACACGGACAAATCAAAACAACACAAATATCCTAAGCGAAACAAAACTACCTTCGATGATACACAAAAATAAACAAGATGACATACCTCTTTCCCCATGTACATGGAGAAATTTGAAGAGAAAGCAAAAAATGTTACAATACTATGAGAAAAAAAACAAACAAACAAGCAAAAAAAAAACAGAAACAAAAACTGACAGAAAACAATCAAATAGCGGCCTGTACTATTGTAGTATCTGTAAAAAACACTCAGCCACGCTCGCACTCATCATTACGAGAAATGAGAGCCCGAGTTACTCAATATGCGATTAAGCTGCATGCTTAGGTCAAAATCATTGGACTAATTCCGTGACTTTTGTGAATCCCCAAAATCTGGTACGTCGGATATCGGAGATTATCAAAGCCTAGTATTGCGTTTTGTGAGGATCATTATGTTGCTGAATCATGGCAATGTTGGCGATCGGCCTAATTCCTTAAAAAAATCGCCTCGTGCGTCCTTGGCAATCGTGGCATGACGGATATCGGGGATTAGACAAACGAGTGCGATTTTGATGCCCGAAAATTCAGCGAGTTCCACAACATCGACGTGAAACGACATTCATTATGCCAGCATTTGTTGGGTAAATTCTTTCCGAACCCGGCTTCGACTTTACGAAGCTCTCAACATGGCACAGGAAAGAGCATCCAAAAAGTGTATTCTACTGGAAATGCACACTGCTCGCTTGTGGTTGCAGTTTTTATTCAAGAACGCATTTAAGCTACTCGCTTATATATCAAAATGCAGGCTCATTCCAAACTTTAAATGTCCATTAGCTCACAGAATGCAATAACGAAAACAATTTCTCCAGCGCTTCCTCAGTTAAAGTTTCTAAAGTGTGTCAGCAATAACATCTAACATTTATCCAAAACCTTATTTTCGAGTGGAACATTCAATAAAGTGGGCTGAACAACGCTTAAAATGCGCAGTTATCCTAATTAAATCATTCTAATAACTATTGACTAAATATCGATATAATAGGTAATGGTTCACCTTGACTTCTATACCAAATACCAATTAAACTACATGGTAATTAGCAACAACTGATCACTTTACTCCGACTTTTACGTCGCTTTATGGGCAGGGTACTTCCCTTGGTTGTTAGCTGCATTATAAAATGGACTTGATTTAGCATCAGGACACATCTAATTTTAAATTTCTATTGCTTGAGGTGTATGGAAGAAACGGTTTCCGCCTATGATGATAAGAGTTGTTTCCACAATTCTTGAACAAGAGTCTAATCCATGCTTGCGTAAAGGATGTTGTCATAATGTTGCATGTTGATGAGCCTCTGTAAAGAAAAATAAAAAGAGAATCTATTAAACGACTTCTAAATCAAAAGGTGACCAAGCCTTAAATTTACTTTGTAAATATTCCACCTGATGTTGATTTTCCATTTCCTTCAAATCGTTCTTAAGATTCTCAAAAATTGGGCGATCATCTGGGTTCTCTTGCCAACAGTCTTGCATTATCTTGTAACTGAATAAAGCAAAAAAAATTAAATAAAACTTGGGTTTTGGTGATACCAATTCTACTAAAAGGTTTTTCACAATATATTTTTCGGAACTACCTAAGCACGAAAGTTGGAACTCTATGACTAGGAAGTCAAAGAAAGTAATGGTCAATAGATTGATATTTGATTGTTTAGGTCTGGAATGCCATTCTCGTTGCTAAAGAGTTATAGAGGTAATGAAAAAAATTCTAAACTTTTCATAGCAAGTTCATGATTAAATAAATAAATTCATGGTCCATAGTCTTACAGGGTATCGTCCACGTGTCGTGGTTTAGGCATCCTGTAACCCTGAGTCAGTAAATCTGCCATTTTTCTTCCGTCAATCTTCGGATAAGGAGAGCCACCTAAGACGAGAGATTAAACACGAAGAAAGCGAATCGATCAAAAAGTGCGCCATCTGTATAAAATACACTGAAACGCAATTATCTGACATACCTATCGTGAAGATTTCGTAAAGCACAATTCCAAAACTCCATCTGAGTAAAGAAAATGCCATAAGGTTTCATTGCAAGTTGACACATACAGGTATAATTAAATTACAGGTTAAACATGAATAGATTTGAAATTTTTTTTCTAATCTTTTAAACTGTTTATCAGCTTATTAGACCTACTTACACATCACTTTTCGTAGTATATCGTCCGTATAACAGCGCTTCGCAAGCTGTCCATTTTACTGGCAGTCTTCCCTATCGAAACAAGGTGAAAGGAAATGTTGAAGAAAAAGAGGGATGATTCTTCATTTTGTCTATCTCGCGGACTTTCTGACAATGATGAAGTGTAAAACATTATTGAGAAACAAAGTGACAAGAGGTTGAGATAGCATATATCAATACTGATAGATAACGGGATTCGCCAAACACAACATATCGCGATAATGAAATCAGAAACCTTTGACTTCCTTTCGTATATGTTTTCCTGGCAGACGTCTCTTGCCATTCCAAAATCGGTTACCTTACATCGTTCTTGCTCTCCAACCAAGACGTTCCGGGCTGCAAGGTCGCGGTGAATAATCTGTCGTACATAATACAGAGCATTAATGGATAGTTGAAAGCATTCCACTAAATGCTTTTTCCTCCGTTGTCTGATCATTGATTTCTATCTCATAAACAAAAACGAAACAAAAGTGAGAGATGCAATGGACGGTTTTTATTATTGCAAACATAAAGCTCTATTATCATATTAAGGTCAACTAAACCATATTGGAAAAATTTCCTTTGTTTAAGTATTAAACAAATTCCAACTTAAGTCACTTGCATCCAAGTTTACTTTATGCACATGAAAATTTGGATGAAAATTAAAATGAAAAAAGTTTTCCCTTGCATCTATTGCCGCCGAGACAGTAAACTTATTTTTATACTAAAACCAACTTACATTTTTTGAGGACAAATAATGCATACCATCAGCCACTTGCCAGGAAAACTTCATCAGTTGCTGGGAAGTCAAACTGGTCTGTGGCTTAATATCCGGGTCCTTGAAGTAATTATCTTCTAATTGTCGGCTCTTTCTCAAATAGCCCAGGAGATCTCCATACGGGACATACTCGATAAGTACAAGCAAAGGATCTAAAAAAATATGTCGAAAACAACAGAAAACATCGTCTACATTATCACCTAAAGGTGGTAATTATAGCAATGGGAAAACGAAAAACTTTGCAGTTATGCCAAGGGCATTCTAAATTCAACTCAGGGTCTGCGGTAACCCGTAGCGATAGAACAAAATAATTATCAACCAGGCGCAATTGCTACAAACGCCCTTTGTTGATACTGTTAGGATCAGCAATGACGGGATTAGGTATAATGAGAGAGAAAGAAATCATGAATTCAGAGCAATTTTGGCCTTAAGTTTTCAGGGTGATACAAGGAGACATAAACTAAGCAGTTTCATTTTACTTTCTGCACCTGATTCAGTTACGCAACCCTGCAACTTGATAACGTGTGGATGAGGCTTGAGTTTCTTCAGGACTTCAAGCTCTGACAGCAAGTCTTTCCTCTCTGTGTCTGTGGCATTACCTAGAGAAAAGGACGACTTTCCGGTAACAGTAAAGCTTTATCTTAACTAAGACGCTTTTTAGATAATGAATAGAGTACCTTTCAGCATTTTTATGGCAACTGTAATTGTCTCCTCTTTTCCTCGAAGGTTTGAAGCTTTTCCCTGAGCGACTTGACCAAAGGCACCTTTTCCAATAACCTTTTCAATCGTTACATTTTCTCTTTCCACTTCCCATGAGCGCGTTCCTGGGTGCAGGGGAGCGTATTCGTTTATTTCTAAATAACTTCGTGCTGGGTCCGTGGCAGGTTCATTAAGTGATCTAACTTCATTCAGGTCCATGTAATTCCCGGGACCATGATGCACCACGGTGCTAAGGTTCCCATCGCTACTTTCCAGTTCAATTTCCTCGTTCTGTTTTCCAATCAAAAGAGATTCACGCTTAGTCTAACCTGTTTTGTTCCCATTCAGATTGGTTACTAGTAAGGAAGAGGTCTCGTAATTTTAAGGGAAGTTTGATGCAAAATTTAATGGGTGCATTGTCCTGTCTATGGAATTATTTCAATCGCTCTGACGAAGGGCTAACGCTCGAAACGTCAGCTTTTTTTACCCTTTTTTTTACCCTGCTATATTCTCCCGCCGATGCAGCACCACAGTTTCTTTAGAAACTAACCCCCTTTAGGGAATTGTATGTTTTTTCATTTTAATTCGCTCGTTTTGCGACCAGAATAAAGGAGAATCGCACGCAACCGTAACCTTTCTTACGACAATCGGATAAAATTTTAGAGGATTCTTGAATACTATGATGTCATCCACTGAACTTAACGCTCTTTCTGTGAGCACTTGCGAATGAGTACTAAGAAGATTTGACTCGCAAATACAGCTTCAATTTCTTCCTATGTAACACTATCTTTATACAACTGATTCACGGTATTCAAGTCCCAAGGGCCTTGAAAAAAATTGAAGGTATGCGTACTTTGCTTTAGCTTTGATATTAGATATTTGCTGATCTCACAGAGTAAGTAGATTATTCGAACAAAATGTACTCCGTACTTACAATGTGAGGCCTATGTGACTCTTTAAGGACTGTATTGAGTCTAAAAGAAAATCAAACACTAGAAGTAGTTTCTTAGAAACTGACTAAACCTTACACACAAAATATTTTTTTTTTTTTTTTTTTGGTAAAATGTTCACTGCCATATATTGGTTTATCATGCAACGTAACAACACTAAATCGGTTTCACTCCGTTTTTTCTTTCTCTTACTGTTGTGCTTTTATATATGGGACAATATTAACATATACTAACAATAGAAACTTTTCACAGGACTACAATTACGAGCAAAGCCTGTTTTTTACTAATTTGATCTACAGATGCTCTTCTAACATTTTATAGTAATGACATCTTACCGATCATCTTTTTCACCTAAGAAGTGTGGAAAGAACAAAAAAAGACATTAGATGAAGAGAAAACAGCTGCGTAAATTATTTTAAAATTCAAAAAGTCCTCATCAATTAAGCTTCATGTATTTCCAGCTCCTTCGCTTGTAAGTACTTCCATTCAGAAATAATAATAATTATATATTGAACGAGAGTAAGCGTAATGCCGCTAATTGATGTCATGAATTGAAAGACTTTGCGAAATGATTACACTATGATGAAAGTTCTCCGACTCCTGGGTGTTTCTTCTTTCCTTCCCCCTTCTCAGTTTCCATTATATTCTTCAAATGAATCTCCTTTTGTCAATCGTCCACAAATCATGAATCTCGGTTACTGGCATCTCGAATCAGAGCATCTACCAACTAAATATAGTAATTAACTCTACTTACGTTTGCGGCGCTTCCAGGCAATGAAAATAATAGCAAAAGCGAACATAAAGGCGAGGACCCCAATAACTGAGCCATAAATAGCATCCTTATTCACTTTTGCTGGTTCAGATGGAACTGGACGGGGAACAGTAACTAAATCGTGAATAAATGACATACAGTTTACAGAAGCAATGCCTTTCTTAACTGTTCAGTTGAATTAATAAGAGTTATTTTAATTAAAACACAGCTATGCACATTTATCAGCATCCATAACAGATAAAAAAAATATCGCTGAATTTTTCTTCGGCCTTATAATCAAATAATGTTTTCGGTGCACACCCACTGTACAAGAATATCACAAAGATATTTGTCACACGAGCTTAAAGTTAAAAGCGTAGCTTCCGAGGGTTTCCACCACATATGTAATTCCTCTTTAGTACAAATTAGCAGGTCACAGACCCAATTTTCATTAGGAACAATCCAAATTACCGTCGTTGAAAGTTTATAAACACCTGAAATAGTTGATCCTACGGAAAAAGTATCTACTTTTAGGGTACCAAGGCTTCCATCGTTAATTGCATCTAGAAGCAATGATTCTACTTCACTTTCTCCAACAGGCTCGTCAAAAGTGAGCGATATGTCTGCGATAACACTTCCCTCTCTATAAAAAGATAAGAAAAGTAAATCCAAAATTTTCTTCAACTTTAACGTTTTAAAGAGTATCTCAACCAGAAACATAAAGAATTTTAAAATCAAAGTAGAATAAGTAGATTTCGTCATCGATGAATGATGATACCTCAGGTGCGTTACATTAATTTCTCTGACGCCAGAACCTTTAAATTCTTCATCGACCTAAAAAGCAACCATATCCAAATCACAAGTAAGTATGGTAAGGAAAGGAGAGTAGGGATAAGCTCATAATTATACGAAAGGACATAAGGGTGTTTTGACTTGTTTTATTACAATTTATTTTATTTTTTGATTTATTTTTGCTCTCTACACGCACTTCAACAGAGAACGAGGTTTATTTCCCCGATAATGTTTAGAGCAATTGGGTTAAGGAAAGCTTTTCTATACAGAGCAAAGGAGAACTAAGATAACTTTCTTCCTTCTCTTTTATTGCAGTATTTAATAGAGAAAATCCTTACGAATTTTGATACTGCAGCAATGATTATATTGTTGGATAGAAAATATCTCATTCTTATTGATTTTTTATTTAATTAAGTAATGAGCACCTTCTCAAAAATATGATAACACAAATGACTTACCGAACGTATTATTATTCCAACAAACAGTTGTGTATCTAGGTCAGACAAGTCTGTAAGTTCCTCTCTCCACTTTTTATTGCTAATTTTAAGGCTGATCATGATAACAATTGCCACTGTGTCTATTGAAGCAAGATAAACGGAAGTCCAACTTAATTAGCCTGAAGATGTAGCTTGCAACATATTAAAATTCATTACCTACTATTAAGCAAAGCAGCGAAATTGTAGCAAAGAAAAAAGGGCCCTCACATACCACACTAATAATTCGGTTTCTGGTATTTCGTATTTAGTAAAATCCTGACCTATCGGGTAATTATAGGGAACTAGCGAGCTTACATTCCCGGATTTTTTGAAGAAATCTCGTAGTTCTCCTCCCCCTTTACATCCTCGAGATTCAATTTATTGACGTCTCGTCAACCAATGGGTCAAAATATTCGTCTTCCTTCGCTTGACTTACCATTTTCTTTGCAATCTTTTCCCTTTTTTCCCTTTGGACAAAGACAAAAGGGTTTTCCAAATTCTCTGCAAGTTTGTCCATTGATACATTCCACAAGGCAAGGGTTTCCTACAAGCACAAAAGTCAAAAGAAGTTATTGAATGAATGAAAGTTCCGCTAATGTTTTAAGCGGGAGAGCCAAAAACTTACTCCAAGAGCTTTTCAAATCATATATTTTTACTGGTTGATAGATATTTTCTATTTGATAAGGTTGTTCTCTTGAATTTTTTGTTCTGAGAAAAGCGTTTCAAGGTTCAAGATTCTAGCCTTAAAAGCTGTATTGTGTTTTTAATTGTCACTTGGAATTGGAAAGTGGAAATAATATTTGCAACAGTATTGTTAAAAAGATATATTTTGGCCATATCATATCACCGTCTGCAACACCAAGGTCAGGAGATAGAATTATTGTCACTGCGCTGAGCATTATTTTATCACAGAAGATGTTGTTGTAGATCGTGGCTTTATAGATTTAAAGGTTTAATCGTTTTTCTCACGATGTTAGTGTCAGGCTAATCAATTGTGTATTGATCGCAACGCTTCGACTGTTCCACTGCTAGTTAGGCAACAAGTTTGAAAGTTTACGTACAGCGGGAGGGCGTTCTTTACAAAATCACAAGTAAATGTGACAAAGAATACATCGGAGGAACAGGGAGACAGAGAATTAAAGAACATTAAAGAGATCTATAACCTGCCTGTTCTCAGAATTTGGTGGTTTCAGAACACGCCTTTGGAACAGGACCGGTTCCTGTTTGGGGCCAGGTTAGACTTTTTTGATTATGACTCTTTGTGTTACGCAAGTAAGGTTAAAGAAGCCGTCCACTTAAGAATTCATCCTAATAACATCAATGGATGCTTATGATCAAAACGCATAACAACCGATCTGTTACAAAGGGGACCTTTAAGGGAACAATATCTAATAGTCAGAATAATTATGAATATCGAAATGAACCAATAAGAGCGTGCCATAGCATACCAATAACAACAAACTAAGGTGCTATCGCATAACGAAGACTCATTACAAGGAAGAAAAATTGTCAGTCCTAAAGAACATGGAACATGATTTCCAATGCAGATTTGTTGACTTGGAATAATACTATGAACCGATAACTGAAAAGGTACGCTAATAAGGACACGTGTACCGGGCAACTTCAACTGCACATGAATGCTTGCTGTCCTTGTTGCATTGCCACACTCGTTGCTGGCTTCACATTTGTATTCACCGGCTTCACTTCTGTTAATGCTTGTAAGCTCCAACATGTTGCCACTGTGACGCTGACCATTGGGTGTCATCCAAGAAACCACTGGGGGAGGCATTCCAGATACAGGACACGACAGAGTCACATTGTCACCTTCAGTTGCACTCTGATCTTGTAGTGCAGGTATAGATGAAGGCACTGAGGTATGAACAGAACAAAGAATTCTCATACAGTGTACTTCTAAAGGTGTACTGTTCAACCACAGTCAAGCACAGATAGGATAAGTTATGATCCTATTTCAAATCGTACAAAGTTTGCGTCATGATCTAAATTGTAACTGTCTCTTCCCTTAATAACTTCATTCACGAATTTAGTCAATCTAGCAAATAGGTTTATAAATGCAGTCACCAACTACGGAGTATGCTTTGGTTCTACGGACTGAAATAATTGGATAACAATCATTGTTTTTGATTGGAAAAATTTGATTGAAGGATTCTGATAGCCTTAGTTGAACTGAAATGTATAAAGGTAAGCATTACTGAAGAGGACATGATTTTACGTCGCAGTTTCTCCTTTTTTTCTATCAATTTAATTTGACAAGGAAAAAATAACGTTCAAACGCTTTCCGCTCCTTATCATACATTTAAATCCCCACTTCTCACTTGACCCTTTATATGTCCCGTAGTATGCAAATGAACGAGTTTGGTCGGGTATGCAGCGCAACTAACAGATTGATGTAAATTGATAAATGTACGCAGATAAAATAAGCTTTACAGCTTCACTAAACTGCGCAGTTAAGCGTACCATTCACTTCGACAATAACAGGTAAACTGTCTTCTGATCCCAAGTAGTTGTTGGCCATACATTTGTACATGAACACTCCCCCAGCTGGCAGTCTCCTGTTCCACATTCCTGATGGGTTTGTGTCTAGGATAGCAGTTTCGTTCTCAAACAACTGATATGACGTTACGGATGGATTAGCATAAGCTGAGCAATTAAAGCTGATGATGTCACCCTGACAATGTGTGCCAGCAAATGACGATGTTTTTAAATCCACGATCTCTGGTTTGTCTAGAAGAATAACAAAAGACCAGTGTCCAGAGAAAGAAGCAAATTCACTGCGTTTAGGTGTTTTATAAATTTAAACACTTTTTAAGGCAATGTAAGGAAAAACAGTAATAGATCAACACTACATAAAATAAAAAGAAAAAAGATTGATCAAGCGAATTTCACGTAATGTGGTAGCTATTAAATTTACATAAAGTGCGATTAAGATTGATTATCATCACTCAATTAAAATAACTTCATTCAACCAAAAACATGCGACTATCAAGAATTGCCAGTGCATCAAATGTACCTTTTTCAAAACAGCTGCGAAACATTCATTGAACAAACATAAAAATGATAAAAAAATTCGCTTACATTGGACATCGATGTTTACTGTTTCTGTTTCATCGCCACATTCACTATGGACTTCACATCTGTATTCTCCTGCTTCATTCCTGCTAATGTTTACAAGCTCCAGTACATTTTCATCCCCAGATTGACCATCAGGTTTGAACCAAGTTAGCCTTTGGAAGCTTCTTCCGAATGTTTGACAAGTCAAAGTCACATTTCCTCCTTCAGTGACTGTCCTATTATCTATTGGTTGTACACCTTCGTGATAAAAAATAAAGAATTGCTCCATATATTACGTCTCTCTTATTTGAAATTAAATAATGGTAGGTTATAATCTCGTAACGGCCATATTGCAAACCAGTGCATTATGAAAGCAGCAATATCTTTGTCTTCTGAACAGCAAAGTATCCGAGTATCTACTATGCGGATCTGTCGGCATGTGCCTGGCCTAAAAAAATTGAGGGAGGAACTAATTTTTTTAAAATTTGTTTGAGTGCAGTTCACTTGCGAAGATGATCTCTGTACTCGTACTTAATATCCAGTACTCATTTCGTTTAATTATGGAGAGGGGAGTATTAGAGCTCTTTTCAATTCAGCACTGGTGTCTTGATATAAAGTCAAAAGAATCAACATCAGATGTCATAAGGGGCCGATGAAAGTTAAACTCATGGCCTCTACGATGCCGGTGCAGTGCTCTATCAACTCCTGCAGTTGACATTTGGTAATATTTGCTTACCATCAACCGTAACGTTTAAACTCATACTGTACGCCGTTCCTACTGAGTTATTTGCCATGCATTTGTAGTTGAATACTCCTTCAGTTGACATATTCCTGCTCCACATTCCAAGACTGTTGCTGCCATTCCTAACAAGCACACCATTCTCTAACAACTCATATGTATCCACCAGAGGAATTCCATTTGCTGAACAGTTAAAGGTGACCACAGAACCCTGGCACACAGTTGAGTTACTTACTGTGAAATTGAACTTTTCTGGCTTATCTGTGAGATTTAAATGAGAAATGGAATGCCACAGTTCACTGAATTATAGAAGTCACTCAAAAATCTACAAAATTGGAGATTATCTGCAAGATTTTAATGAGAAATAGAATGTCACAGATCACTGCTTTTTACGTGTCACTCCACATTCTCCGGTTTGACTATGAAAAAGCAAAAATTTAAAACAGCCAATAGGTTTTAAAAATACTTTTCTCCACATTGTCTAAACCAATGTGGTGAGGATTTTAAAGATGAAATGCTTACACTGCACATCAATGCTTGCTATCTCTGTTGGGTTGCCACACTCATGACTCGCTGCACATGTGTATTCTCCAGCTTCACTCCTGTCAATTTTCATAAACTCCAATACCTTTCCAGCAACACTCTGACCATCAGGCTTAATCCAAGACACCCATGGTGGTGGCATTCCAGATACATTACATGTCAGAGATAAGTTGTGGCCTTCAGTTACATTCAGATCATGTATTGCTTGTATGGACGACAGTACTGCGATTTAAATACAAATAAACTCACTATTTATATAAAGAAAGATGTTATGCCATACACATGAACATGGGGAAAATGGGTCTCTTAAAAAGTTTGAAACATCTCTTCAGGAGTTTGATATTCACAGCTCTTCTAGCGATCTTCACTGTAGTTGTAAAGAATATTCCTAAGCTAGGTTGAAAGTTGACAACTAAGCACAAACATTTCCACCTTTTAAATCTAAAAAAACGGTGAATGCGCGCTACCATGCTTTAGACCTTTGCCCTAATTATACCTGAAGTAGATGGGTTCATGCGCCATCTCATAGCTCTACTTGCAAGCCATAGCATCCTATGACTGAAAGAGAAGTGACTCGATCTACCGGCGGTATTTCATTCCTCACATATCATAGCATATCATTAAGAACAAGTCTCTGTAAGAATCAAACATCTTGGGAAATGAAAATTTTCAACCCCCCTTCAAATTTTGCATGCAGTTAGGCACTCAGGGGGAATGCACAAAAATGCCCTTTTTAAAGGTCGCAGCACTCTTGTTGCCATGGTAACAACGGCTGCTTGTTCGAGGCCTGGGGCCTCATTTTCATACAAAAACGTCGCAAAAAAAAGAGTGAAATGTTTATTTCTCTATCTCAAGCTGAATACAATATTACACATTGGCACTTCTACCATATATAGTGACATCATTCGTCTTTACTTCGATTTATCCAATTTTCCCTGGGAGTGAATGTGAACACACCAATAGATTATTCATGTCGGTACAGTTTTGGTCATTTTTGTTGTCGGGTAAAACAGGGAAAACGTTTATCTGAATTTCTCCAAAAGTACACCAATACTGGAACTGAAACTATCCACCTAGCTGGTTATAATATTCTATTTTTTAAATATGTAAAAATCTCTGCGGGCCTGCCTCTACTTTTTGTAGGAGCAATTCGCGAAAAAAGCTCAAAATCAGATATTGCATAATTTAGCGATGTTTGCATCTAATGTTCTCAACAACAAATGTTTCAGACAAATGAAACGAGCGAGGCTTTGGAAGAATGTTATCTTATGAGTAATATCCCGAAGAGAAATCTCGCCTCTGGTTGTCATCTTTTAAAAAAATTGATCAAACTTCATGGAGGACTACCCGACGTAACTACAAACATATACCTCAAATCGTGTGCATATCATCCAGATTCCGAGTGCTGCACCTTCTTTCATGGGAATTTGAGCGATCCGAAGTCCTCTGAAGATACACTGTTATACTTGTATGTAATTTGAAACATGTTGAAGTCGGCTGATCTATACGAAACTATCCTCACACCAGTCATTTGTCATAAACATGTACGTTGTAACGATGGCATGACGCTGTATTTCTCCATGAAGTTTCCATCGATCGCTCCAAAGAAGACGAGAAATGGACATTTTTGGATATATCAGCAGATTTCCGCGCATTTTAAGTAAAAAACAGCCAAAGAAAAGAAGAAAACCTCAATTGAACACTCGTAAACGTTGAGAATCTGAGGGCAGAAATCGCAGCTTGTCAGCGGCAGTACTACATGTAAAACCCAGTCGCAACAATGGCAATTTGTACGACGCGAAAATCATCAGAAAGTGGAGATTTTGAACTACTCAGTATCCCTGCAGTACAGAAAACGGAACAGGGATTTTATCACAATCAATTTCCAAAATTTAGCTTTTTTCAGGGATTCTTTCACGTGCTCGAACGTTATATTGGCTTTAAGCCTTGAGATTTATTTCCCTTGACAATAAAATGCTCTAGAAAGTGCTTACAAAATTACAAAGGAACTTTTTTTGGTGTCACTTGGACTGAGAAATACAGATTTGAAATAATTAATGCTGTCACTGATGAACGAAAGGGCATAATCTTCTCAAGTTATTGGCTTGATAATCTCCACAGTCTAACAATATTAGACCGAACGATCTCCTTTTTCTTCCTGGTGAGCCGGCCACCTCAGGGGAAAATTGAAGAGACCTTTGACTTCCTCTCGTGTAAATCACTGGGAGATTGCGGTATATTCATCTTTTTTTAAGCTTGTAAAAGATATCCGGGAGAAAAGTATGGAAAATAGTGGTGATGAAATCGCTGTCCTTTTTCTGAAGGACATGAAGCAATCCGGATTACATATTAACCGTGGGGAGTTTCGTTCAAGTGACAAGTTGCGTTTTGCATGTGGATAATAAGTTGTTTAAAAGGTGGAATTATGACATTATGATTTCATTAAATCTTTTATTTCGAACTTTGTTATGATTTTTTCTTCATGAAGACATGGAAGGAAACATTGATTGACTCGATAGCACTGCGGCGGTGATAAGTCCCTCCTCTTCATATCGTATGCAAATTTTCTAACAGTTTTCTGACTGTTTTCACATGATTTGGAAAATCTTAATTCCTGTCTCAAGGAAATTATAATTGCCCGAATCTGTTCTTTGTAAGGAGATGCCTATGTCGTTCAAATTGCTATTCTTCAAACTGGGTTTTACATGTATTACTGCCGCTGACAAGCTACGATTTATACTCTCAGATTCTCAGTGTTTACGAGCGTTCAATTAAGGTTTTCCTCTTTTTTTTTTGGTTGTTTTTACTTCAGTAAGCGGAAATCTGCAGACATATAAGAAAAATAACCATTTCCTGTCTTCTTTGGAGCGACCGATGGAAACTTCATGAAGAAATACAGCGTCACGCTATCGTGATAACGTACATGTCTAGTCCTCCATGAAGTTTGATCAATTTTTTTAAAAGATGACAACCAGAGGCGAGATTTCTCTTCGGGATATTACTCATAAGATAACATTCTTCCAAAGCCTCGCTCGTTTCATTTGTCTGAAACATTTGTTGTTGAGAACATTAGATGCAAACATCGCTAAATTATGCAATATCTGATTTTGAGCTTTTTTCGCGAATTGCCCCTACAAAAAGTAGAGACAGGCCCGCAGAGATTTTTACATATTTAAAAAATAGAATATTATAACCAGCTAGGTGGATAGTTTCAGTTCCAGTATTGGTGTACTTTTGGAGAAATTCAGATAAACGTTTTCCCTGTTTTACCCGACAACAAAAATGACCGAAACTGTACCGACATGAATAATCTATTGGTGTGTTCACATTCACTCCCAGGGAAAATTGAATAAATCAAAGTGAAGACGAATGATGTCACTATATATGGTAGAAGTGCCAATTTGTAATGTTGTATTCAGCTTGAGATAGAGAAATAAACATTTCACTCTTTTTTTGCGACGTTTTTGTATGAAAATGAGGCCCCAGGCCTCGAACAAGCAGCCGTTGTTACCATGGCAACAAGAGTGCTGCGACCTTTAAAAAGGGCATTTTTGTGCATCCCCCCTGAGTGCCTAACTGTATGCAAAATTTGAAGGGGGGTTGAAAATTTTCATTTCCTAAGATGTTTGATTCTTACAGAGACTTGTTCTTAAAGATGAAATTGGCTGAGGAGAGAAAGTAATACTTCAAGCCTCGTGCAGGTGTTTCATATGTCGCTTTCGTGTGGGAAAAAAGGTGATGACGCATGTCTAGTGCACGCAAATCCAATTACACACCACGAGCACTGTTTTCCTTTCTTTTTTCTTTCCTTTTTTTGTCCGCATTCAGTATGTTTGGACAGCTTAGCCATCATAGTCCTTCACTGCCCTTGCCATTTGTTGACTTGCTCAGATTGGGGAGCTCACTAGCAATCTTGCAAGGTGGCGTTATCAGCTTTGATTTTGGGATTGTTTATGAAATCTTGCACCCTGATGCAGATTTTCTTCACTTGGACTGACTAGAGGCATTAGGAAATTTATAACTCAGTATCTGTCTTATTCTCTTCACTATGAATGACAAAGGCTGCATTGCCATCAAAGAGCATTTCCTTGGGTCCACATGAACAGTTCCACATCAAACCTGGTGTGAAGATAAAGGCCTTTCCTAGGGCGGTTGAAGGCCGAAAAAGAAGATGCAGCCATGCATCATAGAGCTCTTCAAGTAACTCAAAGTAGGTACGATCGCCTCGTGTTTTGGACTATGTCAAAGTGGTGATACAATGCATGTTTTGGGAACTGAAACTGTCATAGCTCATGCTGGGTGGCTGTTCGTGCTCAATAACTTACACGTCAAACGCAGTGGCCGATAGTTTCTTTTGATCTAGCAAGGGAAGCCAAGCTCTTGCGATGCAGAAATGCCAATATGGCATGTCTGCGTGATCATTCTCATTGATTTTCTTAGCATTGTTGTATCAAGGGCAAATGGACAGTAATTATGATCCATGCTGAGTTCAGAGAACGAAGAGGTTCATCGTTAGGAGCTGCTTCAATAATTACATTGCATGAACGAGTTGCATACATATAACTGGATTGATTTTTTTTTTCTCTTAATAAATGTAAGAAAGGGTGGGAATGTACATGTAAGAAACACGACGATGGTAATGTAACTGTGCAACATGTTTGGACCAAAGACACCCACTACCCTTGTGGATACGCTCTTTCTGGAAGATGGGACTTTTTCCGAGTTCTTCTCATTCGCTGCCCATGCAGAAGATGTAGATTGTAGATTTGCATGGGACAATGGTCATATTACATTTAATAGCCCTTCTTAATCATTTTCCTAGTGTTGTCTACTTCCTGAAGTTTCATAAATATCCTCCATCGGAAAAAGAAACTCTCTAGAGCGATAAGTTTTCTTACCCTAGGTGTCTTTTTCACGCTGCTAGAGTCTCTTTCACAGGCCTTGTATACGAAGCTGTAGGCAGATATTGGCTTACTGACACCACACAAACGAAGGGGTCAATAGCATGAGGTCGAAATAAATTAATCGGTGGGACATCATAATCTATCCAGCTTTTCAAGCACACCTGCCTCTCCCATTTCTTTTCCTTCAGCAGAAGTCATCAGAAATGACTTAACGCGCTAGCTCACAAATTTTATCCCACAAGCCACAAGCCACAACCTTAGACTTCCCGTAATCCTCAAGAGAGACATATGGCTCCAATAAGGCTGCAGAAGCTGTCAGAAATTCTAAAAGTTGGCCATTTACTCCTTGGTTTTAAGTATAGCTGCGCCTTTTCAAAACTACTGACAAGGTAGATAGGGTTTACCATTTCCTTTGCTAGGACTAATTGCTAACAAACCACAACAAGCACAGTCTGCCCTACCAAGTTGCAGCACTAATAAAATGGTCTAGACTCACCAGTAGCCACTAAATGTATGGCATGAATATTTCTCAAGAGGAAATTACCATTTTCTCTAGGCTGCAGCGTAATCTTTCTCTTTGCCACCTTTATCTACTTGTATAACTGATATGCTCGTAATTCTAAGTTTATAAATTGCATATTTCATCTAATTGATGACATCAAAGAGAGAGCAAGAAATTGGAGAACCTACACAAATTGTCATATCTGAGAATTCACAACAGATAATTCTCTATTTGTTGCTTACCATTTACAGTAACTGTTACACTCATGCTGTAAGCTGTTCCCACAGAGTTATTTGCTATGCACTTGTAGTTAAACACTCCTCCAGTTGACATGTTCCTGCTCCACATTCCAAGACCGTTGCTGCCATTCCTAACATACACACCATTCTCTAACAAATGATATGTATCCACAGGGGGATTTGCATCTGCTGAACAGTTGAAGGTGACCACAGAACCCTGGCACACGGTTGAGTAACTTACTGTGAAGTTGAAATTTTCTGGTTTATCTGTGAGATTTAAATCAGAAATGGAATACCACTGAAAAAAACGTTTTATTATACAAACTGCAGATTTTAACAACGATTTCCAGCCCTATGGAAAGCCGTAACTGTACGTGTTTGATATTGCTAATCAGCTGCCGACCCGTCACATGCCTTTCGCACCATTCTGTCAGGTTCATAAGTGACTGACAAAGCATTCACAACTCTCAATGCAAGGTTATTCGTCAATTTATTTTGGATTGTAGTTGCTAACAGAACTGGGATGGTAAAAAAATAACAAAAAAAGCATGCCTTCCTTTACTGATATGAATTTCTCTTCTCATATGGACCTCGATGAATTAAGTTAAACACTTAAAAAGAAATAATATATATAGCGCTATTCTCTATTCAATTTCCCATGCAGGAGAACAATGCAGCTTCTTACTCATTATTAATTTCAAAACAAGCTTAAGAAAATAGAGAGGAATGACTCACAGCTCAAGAATCTAGCGACTCACACTTAGCAAGGAGTGCAAAATGTCCTACAAGTTGAACACTCTAGACCCTAATGCATATTTTTACTCGATCAGTATTAATAATAATCACTTACAGAGCACAGTGAGGAAAATTCTGGCAGAGCTCTTTCCACAGTCATTTATAGCTTTACATTCGTATTCACCAGTATTATTCCTGCTAATGTTTGTAAGATAACGCATGATTCCATTGGACTGACTACGGCTGCTAACTTCTGTCCATGTTACAGTCAGTACAGGACTTCCAGAAACGTTACAGGTTAAAGTCCTGTTTTCTCCCTCTATCATTGTGATGTTCTCCGATGGATAAACCTTAGAGGGCACTGCACAAGACAAAACATAAAAAAAATGACAATCGTAAACATACATGTTTGGGAAACTACACTATTTTTATTTTCTTTTAATGTATTTGCATAACACTAAAGGATACCTAAAAGATAAGTAAATTTTACAGTTTGAGTTCATCTCAAAAGAAGAAAATGATGTACAAACACACACACGCACACAAACCATATACTTTTAGGAATTTGGACACATATATGTAAAACAAGATTAACTTGATGAGTATTGTTCCTACATAAGGAATAGGGTGAGTTACCGACTCTTTAAAATGTACTTTGCCAAAACATCTACTAATGCAAAATGCAGAAAACCAAAATATGGATTGACAAAATTCAAAGAAATTACCTTTGACTGTAAGCCTAACATCTTTACTTTTTATTGATCCCATCGTGTTATTAGCCACACATTTGTAGAAATACACCCCTCCACTTGTAAATCTCCTGTTCCACATTCCTACAGCGTTTTTGTCTAAAAGAGCAGTGTCGTCCTCAAAAAGCTGGTACAAGCTCACCGCCGGATTAGCATTAGCTGAGCAGGTAAAGTTGACGACATCGCCCAGACAGGCTTTATTGTTCATTGCAGATATTGCCAGTTCCACATTCTCCGGTTTGACTATGTAAAGCAAGAATTCAAAACAGCCATAAGGTTTTGCAAAATGCTTTTCTCCACAGAGTCTAAAGCAATAGGGCAGTGACTTTTATAGATGAAATGCTTACACTGCACATCAATGCTTGCCATCTCTGTTGAGTTGCCACACTCGTTACTCGCTTCACATGTGTATTCTCCAGCTTCACTTCTATTAATTTTCAAAAACTCCAATACCTTTCCAGCAACACTCTGACCATAAGGCTTAATCCAAGACACCCATGGTGGAGGCATTCCGGTTACATTACATGTCAGAGTAAAACTGTGGTCTTCGGTTACATTCTGATCTTGTATTGCTTGTATGGATGATGGTACTGTGATTTAAATACAAATAAACTCATTCTTCATGTCAGGAAGGATGTTATGTCATGCACATGGGGAAAAAATGGGTCTCTAAAAACCTCTCTTCAGGAGTTTGATATTCACAGCTCTTGTAGTGAACTTCATCGTTGTTGTAAAGAACATTTGTAAGCTAGGTTGACAGTTGACAACTAAGCACAAACAATTCCACTTTTATAAAAACGGTGTAGATTCACCAGTAGCCAGTAAATCTATGGCATGAATATTTCTCAAGAGGAAATTACCAGTTTTTCTAAGTTGAAGCTTCTTTTTTTTATGCCACCTTAATCTAAATTATTTCCAATATGTGTATAATGCCAAGTTTATAAATTGCATATTTCATTTAATTGATGACATAAAAGAGAGAACAAGAAATTGAAGAACCCACCCATGATGTAACATCTCAGAATTCGCATCAGATAATTCTCTATATGTTGCTTACCATTTACAGTAACTGTTACACTCATGCTGTACGCTGTTCCCACAGAGTTGTTTGCTATGCACTTGTAGTTAAACACTCCTCCAGTTGACATGTTCCTGCTCCACATTTCAAGACTGTTGCTGCCATTCCTAACATACAAACCATTCTCTAACAAATGATATGTATCCACAGGGGGATTTGCATCTGCTGAACAGTTGAAGGTGACCACAGAACCCTGGCACACAGTTGAGTTACTCACTGTGAAGTTGAACTTTTCTGGTTTATCTGTAAGATTTAAATCAGAAATGGAACGCCACATTTCACTGCACTTTAGCATCACTCAGTTTTCTCCCAAATTGTAGAGCAAAATGTTTTATTGTATAAACTCCACATTTTTATAACAATTTCTAGCCCTAGGGAAAATGGTAACTGTACATGACTGTCTAAATTTACGGTACTTTTTGACGTGTTTGAGATTGCTAATCAGCTGCCGACACGTCACTTGCCTTTCGCACCATTTTTTTGGGGTAGTAAATGACTGGCAAAGCCTTCACAATTCTCAGTCTAAGGTTATTCGTAAATTTTTTTCAAAATTATGGTTGCCCACAAATTGAGAAGTTAAAATAAAAAAAATTGATGCATAATTGCTTTTGGATTTAAATTTCTTTTCTCATGCGCACCTCGATATATCAAGTTGAACTCCTAAAGACAATTTATATTCAGCGTTATTCTCCATACAATTTCCTATGCAATAAAACTCTAGCCTCCCAAGTGCTTATTAATCTTTAAAACTTAAAAAAAAACTTGAGAAAAGAGAGGGTATTCCTCACAGTTCAAGAGTCTAGCAACTCGCACTTAGCAAAGAGTGGAAAATATGCTACAAGATGAACACTCTAAACCTTAAAGCATATATCTACTCAATCATTATTCATTAATATTAATTATAATTACTTACAGAGCACAATGAGGAAAATTCCAGCAGAGCTATTTCCACAGTCATTTGTAGCTTTACATTCGTATTCACCAGCATTATTCCTGCTGATGTTTGTAAGATAAAGCATGATTCCAATGGACTGGTTACGGCTGCCAGCTTTTGTCCATGTTACAGCCAGCACAGGACTTCCAGAAACATTACAGGTTAAAGTCCTGTTTTCTCCCTCTATCACTGTGATTTTCTCCAATGTATAAACCTTAGAGGGAACTGCACGGAACAAAAGATAAAAGAAATTACAAATGTAAACAGACATGTTTATGAAACTACACACTCATCATATATTCATTTTTTTAATGCATTTTCATAACGCTAAAGCATTCCTAAGAAATAAATAAAAATTTTACAGTTTGACTTCATCTTATAAGAAGAAAATGATGTGCAAACACAAAGACACACAGACCATATTTACTTCTGGGAATTTCGAATAAATAAGCACGAGTAAATTTTTTTTAAAGACCAACAAAATTGCAATTTGTGGTCTTTGAAAAAATTAGCAAGTGCTTGTTTATTCCAAATTACACGAGAAAAATCATGTGATTACGTGTTAATGATATACAAGGAAAATACGAGATGGCTTATCATAATTAAGCATAAGTAAAGCGCACGCATCAAGTGCAAAAATAATTTATTCAAACTGTGCGTTCGGTCACAACAACCGCGTACGATCAAAACAATAATATGCAATGATATCTTCTCCTCTTTAAGGGGCAAAAGAGTTCAAACTCCAGCTAAACAATTTAAGGAATTGTTAAGTCTGTGTCCGAATCACTTTCGATGAAATGGAATCGTCGTTTCCGAGGTTTAACCCTGTTTGTTTTTGATTTCGGCGTTGGATCACTCGAGCAAAGTGTTGAGCTGGGTCGGCTCGTAATTTTCGATCTCCTTGGTAATTCCCTTCTCTAAACACCACTTTTTCCAAACCGACAACCAAAAAGCAGTGTTTTTTACAGCGTTTTGTATGTTTGAGCTGTTTTTCAGCTGCGGTGGGGAAAGAAAACCTATTTAAAACACCGGCCATTGCTTCGCTCGCAGATTTTGAAATTTTGTTGCGACATCCAAGGTTGGCATTGGATTGGCTATCTGTGAGTTTTTTCCATTATTGACCAATCAGAATGTCTGATTTATAACTTTCTTTGCACTGAATTAACTCTCTTCTGCACCGAATTAACTCTCTTCTGCACTGAATAACCTGAAAACTGCATCTATCTTAACCAATCAGAACTGAGTAATGTTTTCATGTATATTATTAGCCTGAAAACATTTTCTGAAGCAAAAAGCAGAAAGCTAAATTCAGAGCGACATAATGCAAAGAAATTACCGTTGACTTTAAGCATAACACTTGTACTATTTATTGATCCCAGCGTGTTATTAGCCACACATTTGTAGAAATACACTCCTCCACTTGTAAATGTCCTGTTCCACATTCCTACAGCGTTTGTGTCTAAAAGAGCAGTGTCGTTCTCAAACAGCTGGTATAAGCTCACTGCTGGATTAGCATTAGCTGAGCAGGTAAAGTTGACGACATCACCCAGACAGGATTTATTGTTCATTGCAGATATTGCCAGTTCCGCATTCTCCGGTTTGACTATGAAAAAGTAAAAATTTAAAACAGCCATAAGGTTTTGCAAAATGCTTTTCTCCACAGGGTCTAAAGCAATATGGTAATGGCTTTTAAAGATGAAATACTTACACTGCACATCAATGCTTGCCATCTCTGTTGAGTTGCCACACTCGTTACTCGCTTCACATGTGTATTCTCCAGCTTTACTCCTGTTAATTTCCATAAACTCCAATACCTTTCCAGCAACACTCTGACCATCAGGCTTAATCCAAGACACCCATGGTGGAGGCAATCCAGATACATTACATGTCAGAGTGAAATTGTGGCCTTCAGTTACATTCTGATTTCGAATTGCTTGTATGGATGATGGTACTGTGATTTAAATACAAAAAAAACTTATTTCTTATGTAAGGAAGGATGTTGTGTCATGCACATGTACATGGGGAAAAATGGGTCTTCAAAAAGTTTTAAACCTCTCTTCAGGAGTTTGATATGCACAGCTCTTCTAGTGATCTTTATTGTAGTTGTCAAGAATATTTTTTAGCTAGGTTGACAGCTGATAACTAAGCAAAAACAATTCCACGGTTCCACCATTAAAATGGTCTAGAATCACCAGTAGTCACTAAATATATGGCATGAATATTTCGTAGGAAGAAATTACCAGTCTCTCAGCTGCAGCTTCATCTTTTTAAGTGTCAACTTTATCTACAAGTATTACTGGTATGCTTAGAAAGCTAAGTTTATAAATTGCACATTTCATTTAATTGATGACATCAAAGCAAGAGCATTAAATTGAAGAACCCACACATAATGTCAAATCAGAGAATTCACAACAGACAATTCTCTATTTGTTGCCCACCATTTACGGTAACTGTTACGCTTATGCTGTACGCTGTTCCTGCAGAGTTGTTTGCCATGCATTTGTAGTTAAACACTCCTCCAGTTGACATGTTCCTGCTCCACATTCCAGGACTGTTGCTGCTATCTCTCACAGGCACACCATTTTCTAACAACTGATATGTATCCACAGGGGGATTTCCATCCGCTGAACAGTTGACGGTGACCACAGAACCCTGGCACACAGTTGAGTTACTTACTGTGAAGTTGAACTTTTCTGGTTTATCTGTAAGATTTAAATCAGAAATGGAACGCCACATTTCACTGCATTGCAAGCGTCACTCAGTTTTCTCCGAAATTGTTGGGCAAAATGTTTTATTCTATAAACTACAGATGTTTACAACGATTCCAGCCCTAGGGAAAACCGTAACTGTGCGTGATTGTGTAAATTTATGACAGCTTGTTACGTGTTTGATATTGCTAATCACCTGCCGACACGTCACTTGCCTTTCGCACCATTCTGTCAGGTTCATAAGCGACCGACAAAGTATTCACAATTCTCAATTCAAGGTTGTTCGTCAATTTTTTTTGGATTATGGTTGCTAACAAAACTGAGATATTAACATTATAATAAAAAAATGATGTATGGTTGCTTATGGATATGAATTTCTCTTCTCATGAGGACCTCGATATATCAAGTTGAACGCCTAAAAAGAATTTATATATCTAGTGTTATTCTCTATTCAATTTCCCATCCAGTAAGCCCATGCAGCCTCCCAAGTGCTTCTTATTCTCAATTAATTTAATTAAAACAAGCCAGAGGAAAAGAGAGAAATGCGTCAAAGCTCGAGAATGTACCGATTTGCACTTAGCAAAGAGTGGAAAATGTGCTAGAAGATGAGCACTCTAGACCTTAGTCCATATTTTTACTTGATCGTTAGTCGTTATAATTACTTACAGAGCACAGTGAGGAAAGTTCTGGCAGAGCTGTTTCCACAGTCATTTTTAGCTTTACATTCGTATTCACCAGCATTACTCCTGTTGATGTTTGTAAGATAACGCATGATTCCATTGGACTGACTACGACTGCTAACTTCTGTCCATGCTACAGTCAGCACAGGACTTCCAGAAACATTACAGGTTAAAGTCCTGTTTTCTCCCTCTATCACTGTGATGTTCTCCAACGGATAAACTTTAGAGGGCACTGCACAGAACAAAAGATAAAAAATGCCAATTGTAAACATGCATTTTTATGAAACTACACACTCATCATATATTCATTTTTTTATGCATTTGCATAATTCCTACATTATTCCTAAGAAATGAGGAATTTTTACAGTTTGAGTTCATATTACAAGAAGAAAATGATACACAGACACACGCACCCATGCATAATTTAAGAATTTGGACACATACATGTAGAACAAGATTCACTTAATGACGATCGTTCTTTCATAAGAATTAGGGTAAGTCATCAACTCACCAAAAATATACTTCGCCAAAACATTTACTGAAGCAAAAGGGAGAAAGCAAAAATTTATAATGACAAAATTCAAAGAAGTTACCATTGACTGTAAGCATAACACTCGTGCTGTTTATTGATCCCATCGTGTTACTAGCCACACATTTGTAGAAATACACTCCTCCACTTGTAAATGTCCTGTTCCACATTCCTACAGCGTTTGTGTCTAAAAGAGCAGTATCGTTCTCAAACAGCTGGTATAAGCTCACTGCTGGATTAGCATGAGCTGAGCAGGTAAAGTTGACGACATCACCCAGACAGGATTTATTGTTCATTGCAGATATTGCCAGTTCCACATTCTCCGGTTTGACTATGAAAAGGCAAAAATTTAAAACAGCCATGAGGTTTTGCAAAATGCTTTTCTCCTCAGCGTCTAAAGCAATATGGTAATGACTTTTATAGATGAAATGCTTACACTGCACATCAATGCTTGCCATCTCTGTTGAGTTGCCACACTCGTTACTCGCTTCACATGTGTATTCTCCTACTTCACTCCTGTTAATTTCCATAAACTCCAATACCTTTTCAGCAACACTCTGACCATCAGGCTTAATCCAAGACACCCATGGTGGAGGCAATCCAGATACATTACATGTCAGAGTAAAATTGTGGCCTTCAGTTACATTCTGATTTCGAATTGCTTGTATGGATGATGGTACTGTGATTTAAATACAAAAAAAACTTATTTCTTATGTAAGGAAGGATGTTGTGTCATGCACATGTACATGGGGAAAAATGGGTCTTCAAGAAGTTTTAAACCTCTCCTCAGGAGTTTGATATTCACAGCTCTTCTAGTGATCTTTATTGCAGTTGTCAAGAATATTTTTTAGCTAGGTTGACAGCTGATAACTAAGCAAAAACAATTCCACGGTTCCACCATTAAAATGGTCTAGAATCACCAGTAGTCACTTAATGTATGGCATGAATATTTCGTAAGAAGAAATTACCAGTCTCTCAGCTGCAGCATCATCTTTTTTAAATGTCACCTTTATTTACATTTATTACTGGTATGCTTAGAAAGCCAAGTTCATAAATTGCATATTTCATTTAATTGATGACATCAAAGCAAGAGCATTAAATTGAAGAACCCACTCATGATGCCAAATCAGAGAATTTACAACAGACAATCCTCTATTTGTTGCCCACCATTTACAGTAACTGTTACGCTCATGCTGTACGCTGTTCCCGCAGAGTTGTTTGCCATGCACTTGTAGTTAAACACTCCTCCAGTTGACATGTTCCTGCTCCACATTCCAGGACTGTTGCTGCTATCTCTCACAGGCACACCATTTTCTAACAACTGATATGTATCCACAGGGGGATTTCCATCCGCTGAACAGTTGACGGTGACCACAGAACCCTGGCACACAGTTGAGTTACTTACTGTGAAGTTGAACTTTTCTGGTTTATCTGTAAGATTTAAATCAGAAATGTAATGCCACATTTCATTGCATTGCAAGCGTAACTCAGTTTTCTCCAAAATTGTTGGGCAAAATGTTTTATTCTATAAACTACAGATGTTTACAACGATTTCCAGCCCTAGGGAAAACCGTAACTGTACGTGATTGTGTAAAATTATGACAACTTTTTACGTGTTTGATATTGCTAATCAGCTACCGACACGTCACAATTAATTTCAAAACAAACCAGAGGAAAAGAGAGAAATGCGTCAAAGCTCTTGAATGTACCAACTTGCTCTTAGCAAAGAGTGGGAAATGTGCTAGATGATGAGCACTCTAGACCTTAATGCATATTTTTATTTGATCGTTAGTCATTATAATTACTTACAGAGCACAGTGAGGAAAGTTCTGGCAGAGCTGTTTCCACAGTCATTTTTAGCTTTACATTCGTATTCACCAGCATTACTCCTGTTGATGTTTGTAAGATAACGCATGATTCCATTGGACTGACTACGACTGCTAACTTCTGTCCATGTTACAGTCAGCGCAGGACTTCCAGAAACATAACAGGTTAAAGTCCTGTTTTCTCCCTCTATCACTGTGATGTTCTCCAACGGATAAACTTTAGAGGGCACTGCACAGAACAAAAGATAAAAAATGCCAATTGTAAACATACATGTTTATGAAACTACACACTCATCATATATTCATTTTTTTATGCATTTGCATAATTCCTACATTATTCCTAAGAAATGAGGAATTTTTACAGTTTGAGTTCATATTACAAGAAGAAAATGATACACAGACACACGCACCCATGCATAATTTAAAAATTTGGACACATACATGTAGAACAAGATTCACTTAATGACGATCGTTCCTTCATAAGAATTAGGGTAAGTCATCAACTCACCAAAAATGTACTTCGCCAAAACATTTACTGAAGCAAAAGGGAGAAAGCAAAAATTTATAGTGACAAAATTCAAAGAAGTTACCGTTGACTGTAAGCATAACACTCGTGCTGTTTATTGATCCCATCGTGTTACTAGCCACACATTTGTAGAAATACACTCCTCCACTTGTAAATGTCCTGTTCCACATTCCTACAGCGTTTTTGGGTAAAATAGCAGTGTCGTTCTCAAACAGCTGGTATGAGCTCACTGCTGGATTAGCAATAGCTGAGCAGGTAAAGTTGACGACATCAACCTGACAGACTTTATCATTCATTGCAGATATTTCCAGCTCCACATTCTCCGGTTTAACTGTAAAAAAGCAAAATTTAAAGCAGCCATAAGGTTTTACAAAATGCTTTTCTCCACAGGGTCTAAAGCAATATGGTAATGGATTTTAAAGATGAAATGCTTACACTGCACATCAATGCTTGCCATCTCTGTTGAGTTGCCACACTCGTTACTCGCTTCACATGTGTATTCTCCTGCTTCACTCCTGTTAATTTTCATAAACTCCAATACCTTTCCAGCAACACTCTGACCATCAGGCTTAATCCAAGACACCAATGGTGGAGGTATTTCAGATACATTACATGTCAAAGTAAAATTGTGGCCTTCAGTTACATTCTGATCTTGCATAGCTTGTACGGATGATGATACTATGATTTAAATACAAATAAACTCATTCTTTATGTGAAGAAGGATGTTATGTCATGCACATATAAATGGGAAAAAAATGGGTCTCCAAAAAGTTTTAAACCTCTCTTGAGCATTTTGGTATTCACAGCTCCTCAAGTGATCGTCGCTGTAGTTGTAAAGAACATTAATAATCATGTTATAGATTAAGTGGCTGCTGGTGAGTCTAGATCACTTTATTAGTCAAAAATTGTAAATGTTTGTGCTTAGTTGTCAACTGTCAACCTAGCTTAAAATTTTGTAAGCTAGGTTGGTAGAGCGCTGCACCGGTATCGCAGAGGCCATGGTTCATATCCCGTTCGGGCCTGAATTTTTTCCAGGTCCTATTTCAACTACTCGTTTCAGTAGTGTTCTTAGTTGCGAGGATCTCTCAATTTCATAAGCACAAACTAATGAAATAGTCCAGACTCACCAGTAGCCACTACATCTATGGCATGATTTTTTTCAGGAAGAAATCACCGGTTTTATAAATTGCATATTCCATTTAATTGGTGACATCAGAGAGAGAACAAAAGTTAATAAGCCCACACATAATATTGTATCAGAGAATTCACAACAGATAATTCTCTATTTGTTGCCTACCATGTACAGTAACTGTTGCCATCATGCTGTACGCTGTTCCCACAGAATTGTTTGCCATGCATTTGTAGTTAAACACTCCTCCAGTTGACATGTTCTTGCTCCACATTCCAGGACTGCTGCTGCCATTCCTCATGGGCACACCATTCTCTAACAACTGATATGTATCCACGGGGGGATTTCCATCTGCTGAACAATTGAACGTGACCACAGAACCCTGGCACACAGTTGATTGACTTACTGTGAAGTTGAACTTTTCTGGTTTATCTGTGAGATTTAAATCAAACATGGAATGCTACATTTCACCGAGTTTTAAGCGTCACACAGTTTTCTCCAAAATTGTAGGGAATTTTTTTATTCTATCAACTGTAGATTTTTACAACAGCCTTAGGGAAAGCCGTAACTGTACATGATTCTGTAAATTTACGATTTTGACGTGTTTGATATTGCTAATCAGCTGCCGAAACGTCTCTTTCCTTTCGCACCATTTTTCGGGGTAATAAATGATAGACAAAGCATCCAGAATTCTCAATCTAAGGTTGTTCGTCAATTTTTTTTTTAATTGTGGTTGCCAACAAACTGAGAAGTTAAAATAAGAAAGAATAAAAATGCATGGTTGCTTGTGGTTGTAAATTTCTCTCCTCATGTGGACCTCGGTATATCACGTTGAACACCTAAAACCAATAGATATCTAGCGTTATTCTCTATTCAATTTCCAATGCAGTAAAACAATGCAGCCTCCCAAATGCTTCTTACTCTTTATTAATTTCACAAGCTTGAGAAAAGAGAGAAGAATGCCTGCAGCTCAAGAATCTACCAAATCACACTTAGCAAAGAGTAGAAAAAGTGCTACAGGATGACCAGTCTAGACCTTAATGCATATTTTTATTCGATCAGTAGTAATTATAATCATTTCTAGAGCACAGGGATGAAATTTTTTTTATTCCTTTGCATAACGCAAAAGCATTCTCGAGAAATAAGGAAATTTTATAGCTTTAGTTGATCTCACAAGATGAAAACTATTGTTTATAGGTTCACGGTTGATACTTTCACGTGTACATCATTAGTCCCAGTAAAAAATAAATAAAAGAATTCAAAGTAAATTTAATATCAAAATTTGAGACTATGACCTTCGAGATTATATGTAACTTATCCTAAAACTCAGATATGTTCTTATTTCGTTTTCCTTCAGCAGGATTTTCAGTAAGTGCTGGCTTCCAGCCAAATACACTGGCTATGAAAAGTGTGATTTCCAGCTGTACAATGTGCATTTCAGCTACAGGTGATAAAGACTGCTATGAAAAAAATGTGTCAGCACTGTACAGGTGCTGGGATTAAGGAGGCTGTGCGCCATGGGCATATAGCATGTAAATACAGGAAATGACTCTCCCCAAATGAATTCCGAAAAATTTTATCTCACTTTCACCACCACTGCACTTAATTCTTTGTATCGATGAGAATGACTTCGCACTTGGCCTCGTCCTCCCGCCATAATTTCCGCAACAGATCCCTGAACCGCAGGAACTCAGAAGTGGCATACTGGCAAACACCAGATAAAGAAAAGGAAAAACATGATAAATGTCTTGATTTTCGGTCTATTTATGGAAGGAACAAATGCCTGTGTCTCCTTTCTCTCTCTTTTCCTCTCTTGCAGTTCCATAACTCTCTCATACCCAAATACCTAAAGAGAGTGGTGATTAAGTAGAACTGATTTTGCAGATTGGGTTATATTACATGCAGCATTTAAGTCCAACCATCAACTTTCCATTTGAAAGTTTGGTGATAAATTATCAAGTGAGTCAAGACGTTATTTTCGATATTGAACTTTTTAGCTCACTCCAAGTGAGAGACGTTTCTCAGCTGATCTATACACTGAAATTGTATTGAACATAACTTGCTACCCGGTCTCGGTAACTTTGAAGTAAATTGTTTCTACTTCTAACAGTCAGTTTCCTCACTCTCTTTCCTTTGACCATTGACACAATTTTTTAGTCGGCTAGCAAGTATACTTGACAATTTGGCAAATAGAAGTGTTGCGAACGTACAGTATCATTAGACTAACTAAACTTTCATATAGCATAATATGGATTATGGATGGGGTGACCATTTTTTTTTTTATTGTAGTGACCATTTTTCAATTGGAGTCCTGGATAGGATTGAGTCTGACAGTCATCAGTTAACAGTTGAAGGTACAGGATCGTTTTGACAGAGTAAGAATATAAAAGCCGTCATAAGACAATACTGCAAAGGGCTGTGATTGCTTTTCACATGAAATGGACAGGTTTTGAGTTTGTTTGACTTTTATGTAAGTCACACCTGGATTAAACTATTTGATTACCACGTAAGCTACAAGAAACTGTACAACTAATACACAATATCAAAATCAACCTCACCAACAAAAATACCTATGTTTCTTTTCTTCCAGTCCATCCCATCATTGCAATGGTTCGTGCTTTTTAAAAATGGCCCATAGCTTTTGAGAGCCAAGGGCCATAGGCCTTTATGCCTGTTTTGCCTTCTTAATCTCTGCAGATGTAGCTAGATCTCCTTTCTTACGGGCTCGGTTTTGTTTTTAACCACAGAATACATGAACATGTACATGTTTTTCTTTTGCTACATTTCCTGTGTAAAGCCCGGCTTTAGCCTATTCGGTAATTAAGACATTTGTTGCACTCTGAACCTCTCCCTCTGAAAGTTACCATTTGAAGTTAAATGCTCAATACATAATATTAGAGGAAAAACGGCATTAGAAGCATTACACACCACACCAGTGTAAAACAAGAATTCATTTACCATATGTAAACTAATAGCTATATATAATCAGAAGAAATCAGGCTTTTGGAATTTGCATTTTATGCAAATCGCGCTTCCATTTAAAATTTCTGGATGCGAGCTCTTAATCTGCCTCGACTTGTCATTACTGCTCAGTTCCTTCTTCTGCTGAGCAACAGTCTTATGACAGTCTAAACGATAGCTTTTTTGTACCAGCAAAATCTGATGCTACCCTAAAGTTGCGTGGTCTTAAGTTCATCCATCAAAACAGAAGCTTGAGGAAGAAGTTAAATGAACTACGTGTTTTCTTAACGCAAAGTCCGCGAATTCACATCATAGCTTTAATTGAGACATGGCTTAACAGTAACATTTCGGATGCAGAAGTGTCGTTGCCTGGCTTTACACTTTTTAGAAGAGATAGATTGGTAAAGAAAGGAGGCGGTGTAGCAGTGTTCGTCAGTGAGTCAATTAATGCTGTGCGCCAATCAGACCTCGAGATTGATGAATCTGTTTGGATTGAGATCTTGCTGCCCAAATCTAAAGGCTTACTGTTTGGAACATTCTATCGGCCACCATCAGAGTCGGTTAGCCAGCCTGACCTAGATTATATGGATCGCTTTTACAACAGCTTGGACTATGCTGCGGCTGAGGGAAAAGAAATTATTGTTGCCTAAGAAACCAAGCCTCGAAACCAAAAAGTTGAAAGAGATTTTTAAATCCTTTGGTTTAACACTGCTGATTAATGATCCAACACGGACTACGTCAACCACCACTACACTTATTGATTTGTTTGCCACCACAAATCCACGAAACACTTTTCAAGCCGTAGTTGCTGAATCCTGTCTGAGCGATCATGATATGCTAATTTCAGTTCGAAAGATAAACAACCTCAAGGAACAACCTCGTGTGATAAAGTGCAGGAATTATGCTAAATACGATCCAAAAATTTTCTGCAGTGATTTGAAGAAAATCCCTTGGGATACTGTGTTGAGTTCGACTAACGTCGATGAGCTTGGTCTTTGTGGAAGTACAACTTTACGGCTGAGTGTTACAAACACGCTCCGGCCCACTAATCGACAAAAAAGTAAGAGGTCGTAATTGTCCATGGCTTACGTTGGAAATCAAACAGATAATGAGAGCTCGGGATGCCAGTCTCAAGAAATTCCGTAGATCAAAATTAGACACCGATTTGGCCACATATCGACTACTCCGGAATAAAGTCAGTGCAAGGCTTAAACTTTCTGAAGAAAACTATAGTAGATCATTACTCGAAGAGAATAGCGGCGATTCTGAATCTTTCTGGAGATCTGTAAAGAAAATATTGCCGGACGCAAAACTGAAATCTATCCCAACATGTATCAAGGCTGAGGTCAAGATTATTACTGATAAACAAAGCATTTCAGAATTGTTCAACTCTTTCTTTACACCTGTTGTGAACAAGTTATTTGAATCGTTCAGGTATGCCAGACCAGTTTTTAAATCTACAACTGAGGATTTGTTTACAAAGAAACACTTTGAGTTCACGGCAGTGGATAAGCCATTTGTGCTTAAGCAACTTAAATGCCTAAAACTCAAGAATGCCACTGGTATAGACGGTCTACCAGCTCGACTTTTAAAGGACAGCGCAGTTGTGATAGCTGACCGTGTAACACATTTGCTAAATCTCTCCATTAAATCTGGTACGGTCCCGTCTGAATGGAAACAAGCAAAGGTTGTACCCTTGTTCAAATCTGGAAACAAAGATGATCTGGACAATTACAGACCTATATCAATTTTACCGATCCTGTCGAAAATTCTGGAGAAAGCTGTCTTCCATCAGCTACATAGCTACCTATCAAAAAACTCCCTCCTCTCGCCATATCAATCAGGTTTTCGCGCAAGTCATTCAACTCAGTTGGCCATTACCTTCCTTATAGATAAAATTCGTGGACGTATGGACAAAGGGCTATTGACGGGGGCAATGTTTATCGACCTGAAAAAGGCCTTCGATACTGTTCCTCATGATGGTCTTTTAAACAAGTTGTTTAGATATGGAATTCAAGACCAGCCTTTCTCGTGGTTTGAGAGCTATCTCACTAACAGGACTCAGAGCGTGTCCATTGGAAATCACCTTTCGTCTGCCGCTAACATCAGTAGCGGAGTACCTCAAGGTTCCGCGTTAGGGCCTCTACTGTTTATTCTTTACATAAACGACCTTCCTTTAGCCGTTGGTCTGTCTAGTGTTATGTTGTATGCCGACGACACTGTTATCTTTTCTGCTGCTTAGAGCATTGACCAATTACAGCTGAACTTAAGCCTTGATCTTAAATTGGCTGACAGCGAATGGTCTCTTCCTCAACCTAAAGAAAACTGAGTACGTTGTATTTGGAACTCGGCAGAGGCTAATTAGATCTGAATCTCATAGTCCGCTCTGCATGGAAGGGAAGGAAGTTAACCAAGTAAAGTCGTTCAAGTATCTTGGAGTCTTACTTGATGAGTGTTTATCTTTCAACGATCACATAAATTATGTAAGGTCAAAAGTTGCCAGCAAACTTGGCCTCCTGTCACGATTACGAGGTTGTTTAACCACGGAAGCAGCAAATAAGATCTATTTGTCCACGGTGCTGCCGATATTAAGCTATTGTGATACGTGCTTCCGCCCTTTGGGAAGCACTAACAGAAAGACTCTGGAACGCCTGCAACGACGAGCTGCGAGAATCGTATACGGTTTTAAACCTGACATAGCCACGGAATCAATACTTGAGAACCTACGCTGACCGCCTCTTACAAGAACTATGGAAAAGCACTGTGCACTGTTAGTTAACAAGTGCTTAGTTGGAGAAGTTCCTTCATACTTTAAAGAATATTTCATGTTACGCAGTCAGAGCGACAACCAACATAGATGTACTAGATCGTCAATCACTGACATTATTCTTCCTAAACTTCATCTAGATGTCGCTAAAAGGTCTTTTTACTATCATGGTGCAATGACATTCAAAAGTCTTCCAAAAACATTAAGACTTTACCACCTAAGGAACGTTTCCCGGCTATCTCCGCTTTTTATTCTTAGGCTATTTCTAGAACATTCTGAAATCGAACATTGTTACTTTTTATATCAGTTGGTTCTTATTGATATGTGTATATATATTTTTTATTTTACTCTCTTCTATTTTATGTTATTCAGGGCCCGATACCAGTCTTGTGACTGAAGGGGTCACCCTGTTTAAATATCAATTATTAGTATTATTATTATTATTATTATTATTATTATTATTGTTATTATTATTATTATTATTATCATTATACAACTACTTCTGTACCTTTCAATGTGACATTTACAGTCGTCTCAGTTGTACCAACAGTGTTATTAGCCACACATCTGTAGCTAACGTCTCCTTCTTTTAAATCTTTCCTTATCCATGCCCCAGCTGAGCTGTTTCCATTATTAACTGGTATTTCATTCTCGAATAGTTGATAAGTATGCACTGCAGGTTGACCATCTGCTGAGCAGGTGATACTGATGACATCACTTTCACTTACAACTGAGTCATTTACCATTAACTTGACATTCTCTGGTTTATCTAAAGAGACGAAAAAGACTGCAATAAAAATTATGAAGCATAGATGAAATTATCAGGCTGCACGAAGATAGAACATGCATATACTCTAATTACCATGATTCTAAGTCATTCAGTTTCCTAAACCCTTTAAATCGTACTTTAAGGATATCGCATGGCCACACCCAAGAACTCAGCATGCAAAAGTGCCTTTAACATGGGACATAAAAATAAAAAGGCTGTCATGACAAAATAATCTTTCAATCTGAGAGATGTTCTAAAATCAAAAGAAAAAAAATAGGTAAACCCGGTTACCATGACGACATGGTTATCTTCACACGTGAAGTTTGAAAGGGTACTTCCAACGTGCGTGGATGGGATATTCAGTATATGGACAATGAGAATCTCTAATATTTAATCAAAGACTATCCATCTAGCTCATAACAAAATTAGAACATCCAGTTACAGCTATTTACAGTATATATTCTTGTCATACAGCTGGCTGCGCCCATGTGCAATAGAAAGCAGTTTCAGCGTTTTATTGGCTTTCTGAGCGGACCATCTTGCCCGCTTTGATCCCGTGCGGACCCGCAAAGTTTGCAATTTTTCGACAATGTCGGTGATGGAATCGTTAGAGGACAGTCAAAGCAAAGGGAACATAGAAAACTCTCGAAGGTTTATTTTGCTCGTTATTTTGGCTTTTTTATGGGCGTAAACTTCGTCTCAGAAAAAGAACCTGCTAATATCCAGTCACCTCGATCAAAAAAACTTGGTCATTAATACATACGGGTTCCTGCCATTATATACATTATTAATTGACCTTTAGTTTGTTGTACGCGCTATAAACTATACACCACATGTACTCACAATTAACATTAACTGTAACTGTGCGATTTAATGCAGTTCCTATTGCATTATATGCTGTACAACGATATGTTCCACTATTATTTCTGTTGTTTTCAAGGACAAACTGATTCCCAGTTGCCACTACTCCACTGTCAGTTTCATTGGCACGTAATCTGGTCCAGGTGATGTTTGGTATTGGTTCACCAACTGCTGTGCAATAACAACTACATCGCCACTAACGTTTAATTCTGGTGGATCTGATAGATAAATGACAAAAAAAACAATTTTGCACACATTTTGCGATGTACTCTAATATGACACCCGGGTCACCTTCAACAGTAACTACATCTCTACTGATTAAATTTAACTCTGGTGGATCTGTTCAAAATAGACAACAATGATAAGTTATCTCACAGTTATATCGCAAAATTGAACCAATCTACCCCCCAAAAAAAGATACTAAAATAATAGTCGAAAATTTTACCTACAAGTCAACAATTTTTTACTAATGCACTCCCATGTCGTCTGAATGGGCGCCATCCCGAAATATCTAAACATTCACAATTTCAATTTCTTGATCTTTGCAATTGTACTAATTGCAGGTTAATCGATTATTCGACAGACATTTGTGCTGCTTTAAGATTCTACGTTTACTATATAAATACAGTGCTCCTGTAAATATTAGGCAAGCAGAAAGAATTCCTTGCATGTACACTCTCTTTTCTGAAATCTGTTTTTGAAGCACGATTGAAATTTAAAAAAAAGAAAGAAAGAAACAGCTTTCTACATGTAAATGCAAGAGTTCAAACATCAACGTTTCTTTCACAAGGGTAGTTGTCCCCCGCTGCATATTAATTGTATGGGAGTAAGACTGGAAGCAGTCAATGTGCTTTAACCCTCCAAAGACGAAAGGAAGAGGAAGTAAAAAATTTTCAGAGCTCAGAGCTATCGCACAGAATATGGTATATTTATGATATCAAATGGGTTAGATGGATTGATTCCTATGGTCTAACTGGTTACGATTTAGGAAAAGATAGGACTTGAAACTGCCCTTTTTATTTAGTTAGTCAATGTGTATTCTACGCGAGTGTTGGGGATTTTTTTCTGATTCCAGGAGAATCCTTGCCGGCAGGTTTCACCACAATGCAGTGGCAAGCTAAATGTCAAAGGCAGTTAAAAACCAGTACAAAACAAAACTTTCAAAGTAGCTAAAAGAAATATGAGACAATTCCGCCCTATGGCTTGTTTCAGGATGTTTCATCCAATAAAGATCGGTTGAGATCTATTTCTGTCAACTAATGATAATTAACTTACACTGTACTTGAACAGTCACTCTGTCACTAACACGCAGCCGATTACTGTTGATCAATTCAATTTCGTACTCTCCACTCTCCGATCTCTGCAGTGCAAAGATTGTAATTTCTGCTTGGGTAGCATTGATATTTTCTAGAATGCGACCCTGGTAAACACTTTCTGGAACCGCAGCGTCGCGGTTTATGTCATGTTTATCCACAATGGTGAGGGTGGAAGTGCTGCCGATGAACCGAAAGACAACATCATCAAACGATCCATCAAGGTTGTAGTGCCACATCAAGGTGATGTTGTTACCTTCCAGAACATAGAATAGATCTGGAGGACTTGCCGTAAATGTTGGTGCTAATTCTACGAAAAAAAAATGTGGTCAGGGTCAGCTGAAAGTTCTGTGGTAACCTTAACACTTTGTATAGCGCAGCAATTTTAAGTAAGGAGACTTTTCTTCCAAGGATTTTCGCATACCACCTTTGCATGTTCAAAAGATAATGCACTAACATTCTTCAAATGATATCATTCTTCAAATGATATCATTCACGCCAATCAAAAAGCAACGCGTTCACTTCGCAGCCATTGTTCCTTTCGTCACGCACCTCTCTTGGCAGAGGTATACTGCGTGACGTAACCAAAGATGATTGAAGTTCCTCGCTCTAGGGAGAAAATTTGTTGTGCTCGACAATCTCTTTGATACAGATCAGATTTTAATTTTTTTTGTTTTTGTTTTTTGTTTTCATGTTGTCAGGTTGACGTAAAAAACATTTGGCTTCTGAAGAACCCCCAATAAAACACAAAAGGACTACTTTGATTCTGAAACGTAAATAAATCAAGGGACAGCGCGTCATGATTGTTTTAGATGTTAATCCCGCAACTCATAAACGAACGAGCATAGAAGAAATCAAGTAACTTTTTTAACCAAGCAACCATCCGACCTTGAAGTTAAGGTTATAATATTCAAACAGCAGTCATGTTTTCGGACGCAAAAGCGACGAAACGTGACATCCAAATAATCTTTCTTCAGATACATTACGATACAGATTTAAAGCCATCAGACCGCTTTGCTTCATCATACCCAACCTTACCATAGCGTACTAAGTTAGGGTTCCAGCCGAGATTAAAAAAGACATATAGACTGCTTTATGGAAAGTACGCGCGGACGTTATTTACATACGATTTTTCTATTAGAAAAACAACAAAATTGTAATTACTGTTAAAAGAACTTTCCTTGATGTAATCTGTTTATCACATAGGTTCTGAGATTTCTACATCGAACGTTGCATGCTTCGAATTTCCAGATCTTTCCCTGCATGGTCAGACTCTTTGTCCTACTGCTTACCATAAAACTGTGATCTTTCAAAAAACCGTATTATGCATGAAAAGAGCCCTCGAAGGCTCAATGGTTGAGTAATTTTCGCCATTTCTTTGTTTGACGCTTTTAAAAGATAATTTTCCCCAGTGTTTTTTTAATTAATCTGGTTTAATTTCTTCAACTTTTCTTGTCTCTTTCGTCTGTTTGAGGAATTCGCCAAGAACTGAGAGGACACTCATCCTAGTCTCATTTCTATATCGTGTGTGACATGATTACGTATACTTTGTACGACTGCACTTTGGAAAGAGAAAGTGAAAATGGGCTGTTGTTTGTGTCAATAACCAACGATGCGAACACCTAAGCGAAAATTAATAACATGGTGAAGGCACTTGATTCTAGTTTTCCTTTTCGCGAGGAAGCTACAGCGAGGTTTTTGATTCTTTATTTCGTTTGTTTGTGACAATCGCTTACTATAATTGCATCTAATTTAATAAAAGCGTTAGCGACTAGTTCAGGAGAGAAATATGCTAATCGATTCTCATTTACTCACTGTGGCGAATATTACATCGGAAGCACGACACGATTCCTACATGATCGAACAAAAGAACACTTGACCAACGACAACTCGTCGGTAAAAAAACATCTCACAACACAGCATCGCAACAACAGCCATAACATTGAAGTCAAAGTAATCACGCGTGAAAATGACCCCGTCAATCTACGATTGTACGAAGCGTATTACATCAGAAAGCACAAGCCGGGACTGAACTCCCGTGAGGAATGCACTGAACTTAACGATCTTCTATTTTAATGAGCTATTTTAATTACTGGTTTTAACACATATTTTTTATCACGCCATTAGTTTTCATGCGTCCTACTGGCTAGTTTTACATTATGCTAATTTACAGTGGCACCTCCAACGTTTAAAACCATAGCGCAAATATTTTATCGTCCTCCCTGGGGAGTGAATAGATAAAGAAAGAACCACAGTAGCACTTAAAGGCTTCATTTGATCAATATCCCACATTGCCTCCTTTGTGTGGTGACTCAAATGAAACAGGTTCTTTCAAAATTTCTGTTGGTATGAAATAATTTCCAGTTTTCTCATGGGATATTAAATGTAAGCTGTGAGTACAGAATTCTCATCATTAATAAAACAGAAAGCGACTGTGAAGGAATTGTCTTTCAGGTGAAACGACACCTCACCGCAGATAAGTCAAGAATTTGAGATAGTTTCGATTGGAGGGATCAAGTCACTAGTTCAAATATCTTATGCTCACGCAGCCGGTTCATAAGGAATTTATATTTCAATCGCCATCGTTTACCTAAACTCGCAAACTAACTCAGCTTGTTTTCATGAGAGTCTCGTTTATTTTGAGCTGTTGAACAATCACACAACATCGGCAGGATATCGCTTCCATGATGACAGATTTCACATTAAAAGTGTGTCTGTGATGAAATCATTTTCGAATGAATATACTGTGTAAGCACGCACCCTTTTTCGCTCTCGAAAGGCAATATCTTTCGTCTACCATTCAAATACAACACTTTAAAATCTTCCATTTATGCAAAGCAAAACATTTGTCATTCGAGTCATGCATACTAACACATCTTATTTGCACATTGTGTTCTTACTCTCTCTCTTTCAAATCCATAATAATGTTGTCTACGGTAAACATCTCATCTTACCTGCACAAGGGACAAATACTAGGAATGGAAGCAGAGCATTGACGATTACTGCAATCAGTTTCATAGTAGTTGCGTTAAGTCCACCAACATGAAAAGTTGTTATATTTAGCTTCTGATGTGGCTTATCGCTATGCATACCAAAATGTCAACTAAAACAAAAGAGAAAAAAAAATTCGTTTCCTGTACGACCGTGAAAAGTGGCATTGGTCCTACATTCTGTCTCTTGGGCAGCCTTTCAAAACATTGATAACTCAACACATTCGTAGAGTTTATGGGCCATAATAATAAATAATGAGATAATCATGCCCACACTTTTTGCTGGCCGCTCTACAAGGGTAACGCAGGAAAGTAAATTACACTCTTTGTCGCCATTACAGTTACATATCGAAAAACGCGTACTCAAAAAACATTCCAAAAATTTAAAATGCACACTACTTCTGCTTTTTGTCAAATTTACTCGAGCATCTGTAAAAGCTCTTTTTGTTACACATACAATGGTGCATGCGCATTCCACGCTTTCTAATCTATTAGCCCACGGTAAAGGCTCAGCGTTGTGTCAGCAGTGCACCGCCAAAGTGTCTAAAACTTACTGGGATATTCAACTACTAGTTCAGTTGTGTTCTTAGCTGCGAGGATCTCTTAATTTCGTTTCTTCACCGCAGTGCAAATATATGAATTTCATATATCTAAAATCATCATTCATCACTTAGATGGTTTATTTGGACCCAACACATTGACCAGCTCCCAGTTGGCTTGTTAGCTCAGTTGGTAGAGCGCTGCACCGGTATTGCAGAGGTCATGGGTTCAAATCTCGTACGGGCCTGAATCTTTTTCTGGTCCTATTTTCAATTACTAGTTCTGTAGCGTTTTTAGCTGCGAGGATCTATTAATTTCGTGTCTGAAACTTATCAGGAATTTTGATAAACTATTAACCAGCGACTAACTGTTGAGTATAATATATACATACATATATATAGCGCTTTATGTGTAGAGGGATAATCAGTCTATATAGATATAGATATAGATATAGATTGATAATGCCGCTACACACAAAGCGCAAAGTTCATCTTTAGGTATACCAATTCTACGCTGCTTGAACATTTTTTCTGATCTACCGTGCATCTTTTATTAGATCCGATGGCTCTGTTGTCTGGCACACCTGCTTCTCTGCACAACACTTGGCACAAACTGGTTCACTATAAGCACCACAGTAATTTTCTGTTCCGCTGCATCAAGCATAACCGTATTCCTAAAGGTTTTATGTTATCATATGAACTTCAGTTGGTCAAGGAAAATGGCAATCTACTAAATTCTTGTAAGCAACATTTACATAATGCTACCTTTAATATCTTAAAGGACATTTCCGCGGCAGCCTTATCTAAGACCAAAGCCCCTCCAAGGAAATTACATTCCCAGCGCGATCATCTCTTTCGTGACAATGAGAAAAAATTGCTGAAACCGTTTGGAGAGAGGTTAAAGAACAGATGGTAGCACTGGAGATTGCTCTGAAAAATAAAGCGCGTCATAAGTTCTCGCTAGCCACGCTTCTTCACCCACTGCAATTGGATCAAACCATACAACCTAGCAACAAGAGAAGGAGAACGCGGTGTTTTAAAAGAACTGCCCAAAAGAATATAAGAATTCCAACCAGAAACGATGTTAACGACCAGGATGTAACAACTGAGGTCAACTTGCCGGACTTGAATCCTATTAATCTAACCTCCTCTGAACTCACAGATGCGGGTGCTCTCTCCTTAAGAAAGGACCAGCATTTTGTCCTGAGCCTAAGGACGTTAACTGGCAAAATGTGACAGATGACATGGATAAATTTGAAAGGAGAATCCGTCTTGCCGTTTCCTCCACGGAAGAAATGCTGAAGACAACCCACGTACGGCGGATGATCGATTTCCAGCCATTCCATCAGCTTCCCAATAGCTGCCTCCAAAATCCATTTTTCCGGAAGTAGAAGTATTCCTCAACAATGTGAAGAATGATATCTTCAAGCCTGCCAATTTTAGAACTTCCAAAGACAATCTTACGAGAGAAGAAGGGTTAGCTTTAAGGTCTCTTAAATCTAGTGAAAATATTCTTAGAATTCAAGATAAAGGTTCTAGGTTCTTTGTCCTCAGTCAACAAGAGTACCAAAATAAGATACTAAGGCAGCTTGATGATGATTTGCATTATGATGGCTTACACTCCGACCCAACACTCAACCATTTTGAAGTGGTCAAGTAATGGAGTCGTAAGTGGTTCTTTGAAGGGCAGATTAGCCTAAGGGGTCCCTACTTGTGTCTTGGGATGTAGTCTCAATGTTTCCGAACATCGACAACAATCTAGGTATTTCAGCAGTTAGAAGGGCACTTAATTCCAGATCTTTTAACATTCCTTCCACTGATTACTTAGTTGAAGCTATTGAAATTTGCTTCAGGGTAAATAATTGCCAGTTTTCTGGTCAGAATTTTGTTAAGAAACATGGCACGGCTATGGGACCGAAAAACGCCTGCAGTTATGCAGATTTGGCATTTGGTGTCATCGATGGGAAAGCCAAATTTGAAGGTAGCCTGAAACCTATGCTTTGGTGGAGATACAGGGATGGTATTTTTTACATTTGGACTCATGGTTTACCTAACTGTTTCTATTCTACTATCGAATTTTAATTGATTTACTCTGACAGTCATTTTAACGTCCTTGATCTCACGTTGCATTTTCGTGACGGGTTTATGAGCACCGATGTTTATGCTAAACCCACTGATAGCCACCTCTACCTACCTTTTTTGAGTTCACACCCCGTACATTGCAAAAGAGCAGTCCCCTTTGGGGTAGCTTTAGGAATAAAACGCAATTGTTCTACTGACGAGTTTTTACAAAATAGATGTAAGGAA